TAAATAGAGCAACTGGATGCATTGATTGGTACGTCTACTCACCCAGCAAACAGAATATCAAACTGATATTTATAAAAAGAGTGTGAATGTCATATGTTGCTGGAGCTTAGAGATAGTCTTTCTCTATAATGGTTGTTTAGGTTGTTCTGCAATGAATCTCTCTCTGGGATCATTACAACAGCGCATTTTATTGGGTAACCAACTAATCGCTATGGCGACATTATCAGCCTAGATAATGCAAATAATCCAAAAAGCTGAGCGCATTGTAAAAGTTGGGCTTAGAGATGAGGTGGAAGAGGACAGACCTGTCAGTGTCAGCCGACCTGCTCCACAGCTGTCACACATGCTCAACCCGCGGATATGTGGGAGGATATGAGAAAAGCCCCGGTATTATTTTCATTCATCAGCGAGCAAGCTTTTCTTTGAAGGCTTGCAATCAGTCACAGCCGGTTAGAAACCAATAAATGCAGTGACATCCTTGCTTTTATTATTTCAGGAAAAAATATTTAAATGATATACCCCGTGTAGTATTTCCAGCATTCCAAAGGGAAACCACAGAGTCAACTCTGCAAGCTGAGTTTTTTTTTTGGAAACATGGAGTTGCATAACTTGCAACTCTACCTGCAACTATGATTCTTGACGTTCTGTCAGAGATTTACACCACAACACATTTTGTGTGAGATTTTGTGTCTGATCTTTGCAGCTGGAATCATCTAGAGCATACAAATCTGAAATATCTACACTGTACTCTATAGCAATGAAGTCCTTCCCTTTATGGGGTTGTGAATCTCTCTCAACATAATGAACTCCCTGACAGGGAAGTGTCAGAGCTTCGCTGCAGTAAAACATGGCTGTTTGAAAACAGACACGCTGCAGGATTTTAGTGATGTGGGGCGGCTGACGATGTTATATTTCCTGACACGGGTGAGTCTCTGCATAACATACACACGCATGTATGTGTGCTTACCTGACCTGCAAAAACACACATGCACACAAAAAGTCTCTCTCCTGTCACGCCTACACACCTCACAATTGTCCATCACATTGAAGCTGAACGAGAAGAATGTCACCCGCCCTCCAGCATGCTCAACGAAGCTCCATCAACCTCACATCGGTGCAGCTCGGTTGGACGCAGCAGTTGAGCAGAGTTGGACTAAACCCCACGTCCCCCTTTTGAGTTGAATTATTCTCTGTACTTTCCTGTGAGACTGTAGATCCACTCACAGCTCCCCTCATTATCACTTCACATAAGTGCATCGGGGAGGTTTAGGTCTGTTTCCTTGCGTTTGAGAAAGGGACCCCGCTCGTCTGAAAAGTAGTTAGAAATGTGTCCTTCCAACTTGACATCATTGCATTGTTGAGCTGTGTCACAGAAGCAGGAGAAAAGCAAAAGCAGCATGCAGTGAAACCTCCACAGCGTTTATGTGAGTCTTCCAAAGAGTTATCAGATGTAACCGCTGTATTGGAGCAGTGCAGAGTGGTGCTGAATATGAAGCCAGTGGGGCACACACACACACACACACGCAGGGAGGGACTCACAGGCATGAATATGCCCGTGCTGCGACAAAATCGCACACAAGCTCAAAGGCTTCTCTGTCTATTAATACTGAACTTTTCATTGTTTATCTAAAATCTTTAATGAAAACGTTTTCTAAAAAAGGACAGAGATGAACAAAAAATGAATCACTAGCAATGCTTAAAAAACCATCTGATGTCCGTAGGCTGCATATCTCTTAATTCTCAGAAGGAAACAGAATAAAATACAGAAAGTTAATTCAATCAGTAGTCTAGTTTTATGCGTTGGCCAGACGGCCAACTTGTCCTTGAAATGTCTCTGCTTTTCAAAATGTGACAAACTGAATCAAAACAAACAAACTTCCACTTTTCCACTGTGGGATAATTCTTAACCTGTATTTCGTAAGTAAATGTACAGCATGTTGCTTCACAGCTGTGAATTCCCAAACAGAAACAGCAGACTTTCTAACGTCTACTTCTTCCTTAAAACAGGAAACGACCAGCTTTTACGAGACTTATTTTTTTTCTTCCTTTTGTTGGCATCCTTCAGTGCAAGAACAATTACCCATAACTCATGTGTGGCAGCACCACCGGCGATAGTGTTGTCCAAGGCTAATCTCATATTCCGCTCCAGAAAACATAACATTTTGCCTGCTGAGTTCTCAAGAGCCTCTCGTGGTTCTAGTGAACCGCTCTCTCAAAACACCATTTACTGCCCGTCTTACGCGTTCATTGACTCCCCGCTCCACCGTGGCCCGTAGGGGCCCGTAGTGATAACACGGCTCTGTTCGTTGGCAAACCTTAGCTGCTACTCTGCGGCCAGAAGCACGGTGGGGAAAGACGTTTAACGTACGTCTATGGGGACCGCTTTTATCAACGGAACGACACGCGCGGTTCTGCAGCCACAGACACGGTCACTGCACGTGGGAGAGATCTGCGCGCCAGTAAGTGCACCTATCTGGTTATCATTCTAATTAAATCAATTGGGAAGAGGTCTCTTGCAATGATGAATTCAATGCCATATATTCCTCAACTTTGCAGCCCAGGAGGATACGTAAACTCATGGTTTTGGTTTTATTACAGTAAATGAGAGCAATATAAGTTGTGGTAAATTATTTACCACCTCACTTTCTTGTCCAGCTGCTCTCAGCAGCAGCTCTGTGCTCAGCGGTCTTCCTCAGTGAAAAAGCAGTGATGCACTCATGGCCCTTATCTGCCCTTTCCTGTCTCTGGAGTCGGTGCATACCAGAGCTAAACGGCACAGTAAATATTGAGCTTTCATTTGTCAGGTAGCCAGGATCAGACTCCAAAGGAATGCTAATTGTGCCCTGTGAATGCAAGATAGCTAACGGGTTGCCAACATCAGCTTCACGGGATGACCAAAAATCTACACTGACTTCGATGAGGGAGTGTTGATTTGTAGTTTGTTTACTTGTCAAGGCTGGTGGGAGATGTATTTTGCAAACATGCAAAGTTCTGGAGAGCATTATATATAGAAAGTATTGAGGTACTACGGTAGTGGAAGAACTTAAGATGTAACACAATGTAAAAATAGCAAGTCCTGCATTTAAAATAAACAATACAAAGCAATTTGTACCTCCTCAAATCTGATTCCTCTATCCAATCCCTGCAATCATCTCTAAGACGTTCCTTTTTTCTTTGCCATTATTGGAAGTATTTGCCTGATTCGACGCCATCATGATTCACGTGTGACACATGCAGCGCTAATGTCAATCTTAATGAGCATGAAGACTTTCATACTGTATGTGTCACGGTGTGGTTCACTTCCTGTTGTATTTTGTAGTTTTCTGCCACTCGTGTCCCCGGTAACTTCACTTCCTGCCTTGTCCCGTCATCCCCTGTGATTGTCTAATAGTTTCCACCTGTGTCCAATCACCTGCACCTCCCTTGTGTATTTAAGCCGTGTGTCTCTTGTGTCACTAGTCGCGTCATTGTCTATTGTCGTGGATGATCATAGTTTCCTGCCTGCTGTTTTCCCCCCTGGTTCCTGTGTGTTTTTGGCCTTTTGACTATTAAAGTCTTTTGTTTTCCAAGAAGTCTGCATTTGAGTCCTGCCTCCTCCACGCATCCTTGACAGTATGTTGCAATTGAAGTGACTGTTTTTTATCAAACCGCATCGCAGGCCCGTCCACCTTCCCCTCACTCCATGCTGGTGCATTGACAGGTGTCCAGGCACTTCAGCCTTCAGAACAATAGTATATTTAATATAATTTAACAAATGTGCAGTATATATGAAATATATATTCAGAAAAATACAGCTGTCTGACAAATGTACTAGAGTAAAATGTTTCTCAATAAGTTTGAGTAAATGTATGTAGGACTTTCAAAATCTTCACTTGTTGCTGTAGACTACCCGTCACAGCGGAGTTTGAACCTCGTCATCTGGCTTCCTCCCTCAGATGATGCTGAGGCCTGTTGCCGAGCGGGTTTGGGTTGCATCACCGCTCGCTCACAAACGGACTCCCCGCTGAGAGGGTCCATACAGTCATAATTACACTCCTGCCACGGCTGCAGGAAGCGGGGCAACTGTGGGAGGGAACAGTGGAGAGCCTCACAGCAGGCGGCAGGGAACAGTGTACCAAAGGGAGCTCAAAATCAACCAACCGAGGGCCACCACCGGGCCTAATTACAGAGAGAGCATGATTAAGTATGAAGCTGCACCCCGGTAGGGCTGTGATGTCCGAAATGCGCCGACCTCATCAGCCTTGGTCTCACTGTGGGGTGTACAACTGTAACTATATGGCAGTCCGTTAACAATAGACCTTCCACAATGCTTGCTGCTCAGGAACCAGATTAGGAATATGATGCATAGACGTTTCCATGGCTGCATGATTATGTGACCCATGGAACATGTGTAGTGCAGGTGTTTCAGTCCGAGGGAGTGGCGGCTGGCCAATAGCAGGAAATGGAATGCTGCCCATACCTGGAGCGCACCTGCTTGAGCCCCCCCCACACAAAAAACAAAACAAAACAAAAGAAAAGATAATATTAAATTATAAAAATCACCTTTGTGTTGGTGATTCGACATGGGTTTATTTGATCCTTGTCTTTTGCCTCTAATACCTGCATGGAGGGCTTCAGATGATGTGAGGAGTTGTTTATTGTGATTTCCTAAATAAAAAGATTAAAAAACGTCTGGCCAAAATCAATCCGTCTGTGCAAACACATAGAGAGGAGGACGGAAGCACTGTACCGTCTATCTGTAAATTACATGTTTGGTTGAATTAACAAATATTTGTTAAAATCAAGAAAACGGTGAAGCATAAATGCTAATAAATGGGCATAACAGCATGCAATCTCCCATAGATGAATATACAGCAGGGGAGGCAGAAACACTACACTAGATGAACGGAGAAGGTTGTGACAGAAGCTGCACGAGTTCGAGGAGCTGTCCAGATGCTGAAAGCAACGTGCAGCCCTTCAATTAGTAATACGAGCTGGTGGCTCTGAAGGAACTGACGTGCTTTTAAAATTATAGATGGAAATAAACTATTCATCCATTGCGTGCGACTTAAATGTAGAATTTGAGGCAGCAATATAAAGCCCCAGCCAAGTACAAATTGTACTCTATATTCACGGTCTCGGCTGCTAATTTATTTTTTTGTAAGTGGCTTTGGAGCGAAAGGACGACCCGTCCAGCCCATGGAGCCACAGCTTGAATCTGCAACGAGTCGTGTGTCCGTCGCAGCCCAGCATGTAGGAGAATGCAGTCAGGAGGGGTGGAGTTCACAGCTTCTACTTCTCAAACGCTGCTGCGAAAGAAGAGCTCATTCTCTGCCTGGTAAACAGCGGAGTTGTTGGCACTGATGCGTCCTGGCACGTGATCCCACTTTCGTCAAATCCATTGCCTTGCTGCTGCAGCCTCCCATTAAACTTCCCATGCTGTTGCCCGTCCAGTGGACCGCACTGGGGGTTCATCCGGACCGTATCCGCTCCCGCTCGCTCGCCCGCTGCGCTGCGGCTCTCCGTGGTCGGCTCTCCACGTTCCGAGGGACTCACGGGGCTCAGTGAGCTGGCCCGTTTCCTGCACACATGGAGGGAGACGTCATGGACAAAGTGGAGGCCACGGCGACGGTCTGTGACTTCGATCCCGACAGTGGGAGCATCCCGGCCACCAAAGTGGAGATCACCGTGTCCTGCAGGTGAGTCCACGCCGGGGCCGATGCCGTTTGCCTTACGCGCCCGCGTTTGGGGAGCCCCCGTGCGCCGTGGTGCGTGTTGCCGTGAGAAGACGGGGCGCCGTTTGTAACGAGCAACGTGCCGTACAATGTAGATATGAAAACAAATATGCGTTAAATATGTCTGATTATAAAATAAAACTTTAAAAGATGGAGAAAAAAAATTACTTCATGCGTAAAAAGGTGTTCAGAGCGGACACGCTGTGAAATACACAACGTGCCTCAAAACTCTTCTATTTTTTTTTGTTTCTTTCTGTGTCCTGTTTATCTTCGGGTTGTGTCTATTGAGATGCATCAGCGCGTGTCTCGCGGGTCTGCAGCACTGTGTGAATGCTTTTGTGTGCTCCGCGTGCCAAAGCTGCCATCGACCCCCACAGTTTGTTGGAGTGCCGGCGAGGTTTCCCCGCTGGCTTTTGTCGCTTAGAGTATCCAACAACATAGAGTATCCAACAACAACAACAACACTAGTTTCTAACTTAATATTTTCTTCCTCGTCTTTCTTTGCGCTTCAAGTGAATCTCAGCTCTCCTCGCCCCTCCCAAAACCCCAAATATCACGGAGATGTCCGTAGCCTCGGCTGGATAGGGCGGGGCGGCGCTGGTTGCAGGTGGAGTGTCTTTAGTGCGTTGCTGCAACATAAAGGGCGACGACTACGGCCGGTACAGTTTTAATTAATTTCTCTCGTGGAAATTGTCTTCCGAGACTCCGTAGCTGTGCGACATGTCCACAGTGTTAAAATCGTTGCCACCCCTGGCTGCTCCAGTTGTGGTCCCAGGTGCATCACCGTTGAAAAGGGAGCAGTGGTTCTCAACCTTTTGTTTAGTGATGTACCCCCTAAAACATACTTCTTTCACCCAAGAAGCCCTAAGAAAAGATATATTTTTTTTAAAGGATTTTTGAATGGATGCTCATTTTAAATCTATTTGAAAATTGAAAATCCTCCCCCCGAAGTGCCTTCCCGTACCCCAAAGGGGCACACATACCACCATTTGAGAACCACTGCCATAGAGATACAATATGATTATGTGTTGAGCCACGCACAATCAAGTATATACAGAGATTCATCAACTAAACGTTCTGCTGCCATAGTTTCCGTTCCTCTCTTTGATCTGACATGTTCTTGAAATCTACATTCACTCACTATTGCTGTAAACGCTGCTATGTCATCCATTTTGAAATTTCAACAAACCCAACAATGCGGTTGCTGTCTGGGGAACCCTATAAACCGCTTTGGATATAAGTCGCCTTTCAAAACATCAAAACAAATTGGTTAACCTGTGTAGAGATGACAGGTTAGAAAGACAGTGCAGCTATGAGGGGAGGGGGGCTGTTTAAAATGAACAGCAATGAACACATCAAAGGCCCGTGGTCTTGTGTTTGTGTAACCAAAATGTACTAAATCAAATTGTATGTAAAACTGAGAAAAGAGAAAGTGTGTGTGTGTGTGTGTGTGTGTGTGTGTGTGTGTGTGTGTGTGTGTGTGTGTGTGTGTGGTTTGAGTATGAAGCTATGGTTGTGTGTGGGGGGGGGGGTTTCTCCATTTTGGTGCATGAGCGGTGAATAGCTGCTGGACTCCCTGTTGGTACACACTCATTGTTTTACCCTCAGACTTTTATTCTTTAATCTGCAGCTCCCTAGTTTGCCATTAATGGCCAAACAAAGGCTTGCTCAAGGGCGAAGTCTGAAAAAAAATCGTACTTTCATTGAGCCTTGAAACTATTTCTGTTTCAGAAGCAGACCTCATGTCCTGCCCGTTCTGCTCCGTGACTTTCTATGACGTGGCTTATGCCGAACCTCGGAGATCAAACAGTGCACGGCTTAAAAGTTCAACACGTAGCCATGAAGATCACGCTGGTCTTCAAGTGTTTCTGGTCCATCCGATAGAAGCAAATAGAAACAATGGGTGTGACGTGGGTGAGGAGCACAGGCTCCACGGCTCTGGGTAATTGATTCGGTAAGCTTGAGAGCTGTGAGATTGCGCTACACATGGAGTTGAATTGTGGCGTGCAGCCCTGCAGGCATTCTCATAACCCCCTGCCAATATTACAGAAGGCCCGCCGACAAACTGGAGGGACTCAAGCAGACAAACCCTTATCCAAACAAGCGCATATCACTGTTATAGCACATTGCGCCCAGTCTACAGCCATGATTGGTTTTGCTCGCAGGTCAGCCGGTGAGCCAAGCCAAGAGCATCCGCTCCTTAGCTGCAAGCTCCGACTCGGCAATAAGATGGCTCTTCAAACCTAAGTGGCCTCTATTTCAACATCTGCCTTACCAAAGAAATGCCAGCAAATACAGTTAAGTGGTTTAGGCCAGTGGACTCCTGCGGTTTGACAAGCGTGATCCCACCTCTTATGTGGCTGTTGTGAGTGGGTTCATTAGTTAATACTGTAGCAGCTCTAGTGAATAGTTTATAAGTGTCTAGTGGTTTGCTACATCATGCTTTAGTTATGAGCAAAGCAGTAAATATGGATGTTGCTGGTTTGTAAAATGTGCCTTTTCTTCATATATCAGCTCACTGGACCGTCTCAGAGTTCCCATGTACAATGATTTCGATTCCACTGTGAGACCTAATTTTGCCGATGAATGTCTAAAAAAAAATGTGCACAAAGACAAAAATCACAAAGTCTTGTGATTGACAAAGACTTGACACGTGGGTCTTCAGCTCATGAGCAGTTTTTTGTTTGAATTTTTCTCTGGTTTGTCACAGTTCCCTGAACAGGATGCCAGGAACCATTTGTAACTCCACTGTTTACTTTATGTGACCACGATGAGGGAGCAGAGCTGATGAGCCTGACAACCACCACAAAGGTTTAAGACCCTTGTCAGAGCAGAGCGAGGGGAAAATGATATCCTCTTTTCGGGATGATGTTGTTGAGAATGTTACCAAATCGAAGAGACAGCTGGAGTAAACGAATTTTATTAAAAGCCCAGATTTTGACATTGTTTCATTGCAAGTACACGATGAACCCCAAGCACAAGGACGTAGCTTCACATCATCGCATCGCTCCTGCTGGAAAACACATTAACAGAGGACACATCATAGACATTGATTTGGTCCTGTGCAGCATGTCAAATCACACCACTGGCATGCTGTTAAAAGTGCAATCAGCTGACAAAGCCACCCTGTCTTCCTCTGCCTCCTCCCACCCGACAACTTGAACAGGGAACTTTATCAGTCTCCATTGCCCATTTCATCAAGAAGGAGAAGATGCACCATGTCCGTCTCCTCCTGTGCTCTGCTGTTGCTTCTGCGCTCGCTGCCACCATTCATTTGCTGTGATGGATTGGTCAGAGTTGCACTGCATCCAATCAATGCGCTCCGGTGCTTGTGGGGGGGTCTAAGTCAACAAGGCCACTTTGCTCCAGACGGATTCATTACCTTGTGGTAAACACAAGAGGTCACATGACTGCCAGAATTCTGTGACAAATGCTTGCATGAGAGGATACATGGCGCTAAAGGCCACCGCTGCGATTCTCAGGGGTCAGTCTTGGAACATGTTTCCTGATCCGAGCGGTTCCGGCCGGTATCACAACTCAGGGGGGGGAGGGGGGTCCAATGAAATCATCAGGATTATTACTGTGTCACTGCTCAATCCGTCCAAAACAACTGCCTGAGTAGAGCAATTGGAGTTGAAGCTGTGTGGAAACCCTTTTTCATTGCCGTGCTCTGTTGTGGCCTGCAACTCTGCTGTGGTCGTTTTGTCACTTGCTGTTGTAGCCGTCGATCTAATTCAGTCTTGGTTGCCCGTTCAATAAAGCTCTGTGGCCTGTTTTCTTCTATTCTTTTTTTATTGTTGAAACATCCCGGTGCCTTTCTCTGGCAGAAAGAAAGTTTGAATTGAACTAGTTTGCATTTCACAAGAGCATACAATATTAATAAAAGATCTCAGAGTAAGAAAGACATTTCAACTTGCGGTGTTTTCACCGTGCTGCTCTTTTCATATCGTGTTCTGGGTTAAGACTGACCTGGGGCCAATTGGCAGCTTTTATCTTGCAGGAGGGCGCGTGTGTGCGCGGTGTGTTTGTGATGTATTGCATCTTTTTGGGGGGGAATCAAGGCTCAGAGACACGAGGATGCCAGGGGGAGCTAGATTTGTTTTTTTTCCATTCCAATTTGGGTTGTTAAGATTACATTAGGCGATTCTCACAGGTCGATGAAGCGGATGATTATGCATGCACCCCTGACACAGGGAAGATGAGTTTGGATCCCAGACACTTGGCTTGTGGTGGTGTCATTGTTTTTAATAAATTCTTATTTAGGATAGATGACAGCAGAGGGGGATCCTATGAATACACAGTGGAGATGCTATGTCAGCGGTGTGTATCAATCTGCATTTTGGGATGTTTCATGCAGGTGTTGATTGGAATGACGGGAAAAGTCAAGAGGGTTTTGCAGCAGTAACAAATAAAAGCATCCCCTCTTGGTTTAGAAGTATAAAGCTGCTTTTGTCACTATTTTCGGAGATCCTTATGGGTCAGCGTGTACGTCAGTAGATCCGTACAAAGCGCAACAATTTGCTCTGTGAAGATTTCACCACATTTTTTTGCTGCATATGTTTAAGTTGTCATCTTTGTTTAAAATCTAAGCCACAGACCTAAAGGAGCTTCTCATTGTCAGGTTATGTCATGTATGAATTCATCCGAGACAACATTTTCTTTGTGTTAGATACGTTCAAGTGGATGATGTTAATATTTTAGCCAAAGGAGACGTCTCTGTTGGGGAGAATACGTGCGTGTGCCTTTGCAACATAGTTGTCCATGTGGTTAAAAGGACAAAAACAATTAATTTTCCTGCAGGGAAGCAGATTATCAATCCAAATTTGGGAATTATGCAAGATAAATTTAACCAGAATCTACAAAATCATTAGAAGCTGCCAGTTAGTTTACTAAATCTGTTTGGGTTTGTGGAGACGAGAATATGATATATATGCGCAGATATCTCATTCTAAACCAACATGTGTGACCAGGGAATAACATCACCACTAATTGCATTGTGTGACAGCTGAGGCTGTCCAACAAACCAACAAAAACAAAATATATTCGTTTTCAGGTGACAAATACACGAAAGCCTGCTTATAAATAATATATTCATTTCTGCCAATAGATCCCCCTTTGCCAATGATTGACGGAATATCAATGAACAGCGCAGACACTGTGAGACAATACAGGTAGAAACAAGCTGTGTCGGAATGTGTTCCCTATTCTCTGTATTCTATTGCATTTACCTTGTGCACTTTTATTTGTGTCTGAATTCAGATTAAGGACATTATTTATTAACCTTCAGCCTATAACTTCCATGACTAGGGGTGCACTTGTGGCTTAAATCCCTAACAATATCAAGGCCTAAAATCTTCGTAAACCTCACAGGATATATTTCCTGTCGGATGTGTTGTAAACCACTCCGGTTGCTACACTCTTCATTTCATGTTTATTTGGTGGGAACAGATTTAATATACATTGAGAACTGCACAACCAATTTTCATTGCAATGTATTGCATTTATAGCTGCTGTAAATTTACAATGCCATTCGCCAGACGGGCCTTTAAAAAAAAATACACCCTCGCCAAACGCATACACATACTCGCATATACACTGCCCCCCCCCACCTTCCCCCCTTACACATGATCCTTCCTTTCCTAACCAGTGTTAAGAGTTTAAGTTTCTTCTGGCTGCAACAAAGCGAACACGTGTGCTTTAAAATATGTTGAAAGTGTAGTAATGGTTGACCAATGTAAAAAAGAATATATATATTTTATCTGATTATTATAATTGGTATGTCGCTATTATCGGTTGTGAAACTGAAGAGTACATACATCTTTAGCCCAGTATTTCCATGTCAGATGGATTGGTGTGTGTTTGAAGAGCTCTGTGGTCGTGGTGGTTTACCTGCTGATTTCCCTTTTGATGTGCTCTCATTCCTCACTAACATCAATGACTGTTTCTCTGAGAGCATTATTATCATGGACCCATTGACTCTGCTCTCTCCACTCCACACCTGACTGAGAGCAGCGGTTACTTTTGCATTCTCAAGCTAATGATTAGTTTGTCATTTCAAACCCAAAATAGGTAAAAGATGTTTGCAGCTCGGGTAAACAGTAGGCAAAGTGCATGCACGCTTAAATAGTATCGAGCATCAGTGTGTGCATCCCCCCTCAGCTCCTCAGAAAAATAAGATCTTTCCCCGTGCATCGCCTCAGCTGTCACACAATGCAATTAGTGGTGATGTTATTCCCTGGTCACACATTGGTCACACACACCGAAAGCCACTGTAAAACAGGGAGTCACGCAGTACTTGAATTCCCATATATTGCACTAGCAGCTTTACGACTGGGATTTTGTCACTGCCCGCAAGACGGCCGACCGGGGAGTGCTGAGCTGTAGGCACCGTCCACCGGGAGAGTTCCCAGGTTGAACAGAAACAGATAATTGGACAGACGGAGAAGAAGACACCTGGCGCCATCGCAGTGAAGGTCAGCAGATTCAGGAATAATTAACATGTGTGTTATTATCTTTTACTATTAAGGGGATTTACGTAAGCAATGCAGGCAGATGTCAATTACAAAATTAAATTAATTTGTTTGCTTGTGTCCCAGCTGTAGTGCTCCCTGACGCATGTACAGTATGTGATGGTGGATCCTGCATAAAGCATTGTAGTAAGTTATTTTAAAGAATTACAAAACACTCTCAGTTAACGCAGTTATATCCGTCAAAATAATGGGATTCCACCAGTTTGTAAAGGGTCAGCAAACTTCTGCTGCAACCTTTATCTCACGTGTTTGGTTCCCTGACCGTTTCACCCCCGAGAGGCTGCTCAAGGCCATAACACACAAAGGTTTGACCTACCGACCCTGCGGTGTGTGAGTGGAAAGGAAATGTCTGTCCCCAATATAAAAGAGGAGGCCAAAAGTCAGTAGTTAAAGTGAGGTGACAGAGCAGAATCGAAAAATGCAAACTGTTCCCAACCTTCTCCTGCAATAAAATACATTCATTCCTTCCTCTAACCGAGTCAAAGACTTGACTTTCAAGCTTCCACAACCAGGCAGCAGTGCATACAAGCCAGATCCCAGGCAATGAATATTTTGACAATTTTAAGAAAGTGAAAAAAAATTAAGAGACTTCTGAGAATAAGGCAGGTGCGGGAATTATTTCTCAGTTTAATAATTGGCCACATGGACCAAGAAGCTGCTAAAATATCCCCAGGGAACTGACCAAGAGAGAGAGTCTTACATTACACTCTTATAAATTGGACTTCAGCAGCCAGCCATGTTTTAGAGGTCAAATCTCCTTTACTTTTGTCCTCTAGGGGAAATGCTTTGAATATTTAATGCTGGGTGATACTAATTCATCATTGGGAAATGTTCCTGGTAGTGCTTTATTAATTGAAGTGTGCATGACCTATAACTACAAGCTTAATTTGCTGACAAATAAAAAAAAAATACTTTGTAGGGGATGATTAGACAGCGAAATTAAGCGATTTAGATATTTTTTTTACAAAGTTTAATTAAATTTCTTGATGTTTTGTTTGTTCCACATTTAATGAAGCACTGAGGCTCTCACTTCACATTTGACAAAAATATTACGTTCTCCAGTGACTTAAGGAGATTTTTTGCACAGTTTTAATGATGATGGTGAGATCAAGAGGAATACGAATTGATGTTTCCCATTTTCATTCACATGTTTCAAATGAGATGCTCATAACGGTCACAAACGTGCTGCAGTATGAAAAAGTATGAAATGTGGATGAAACGCAGCTGGTCTAATAAGTACAGTCTAATTACTTTTGTCCTACTTTCAATGAACTTTATCTTCAACTAACCAGCTTTTGGGTTAACGGCCTCTTCTTATCCCGCTGAGAATCATTAGGAGAAGGAGTTCACTTTGAAAAAAAGGCAGTGAAAGAAGACTGATTATTGTTAATACCTGTTCCGCGCCATGTGAAGAATAAAAAGGTGGATTAATACTCCTTGGTGTGTAATGCTAATCATCTCTTCTTGGAATAGAAAGGGTCTGCAAGACCAAAGTGAGGTTCAGCAACCCAAATGAAGGCTTGTTTTCCACAGTTCATTATGCAAATGCGAAAACAAGACGTCATGTTTTTCATTTAGTACGTTCTGCACTGAGGAACGGGAAGAGGTGATGAACAGGCTAATTGTTGCTGCGTAATGGATGCCAGGCGGTTACAGGTGGATGCAAAGAGGCAGTTAGTCAAGGATGGCTCTGTTATCTCCAATGATAATTACACTGACAACGTTCCAACTGTAGTCAGGTCAGCCCAAGGCTAATACCTGCATGCTGCATCTGTTATCCTCTTGGTATCCGTGTGACAGAGAAGTTTGTGTGCAGGAATGCATGATTAGGAATGACGGCCCCCGTGCTCGTGTTCAGTCCCGAGACCCTGCTTTCCCTTCATGGGATGCTCATTGTTCTGAGCTACGTGAAAGCTATTTATCCAAATAGACATTTATAGACTTTTAAATCATAAGATACTAATAAGGTCTTTAAACCAGCGGTTCACAACCTTTTTTGCCTCACTGACCAGTTTCATGTTAGACCATATTTTGTGGACCGGTCGACGGGGTGGGTGGTTGTCGTTGGCAACGGCAAAAAAACGCTTGAGTTGGCTGGTGGTTAGGAACCATCTGGAAATGTCTCACATTAAAAATGACGCATTAATTGATTGATGCCCACGTACACAGACAGCGGCTTTACAGATAAAAGTTAATATCTGCTTGGTTGGACCTCATATAGGAATGGCTTGAGTCAGAGAAACACACATAAAATCCGGTCTGATTGCGGTTCTCTTATCTTGACTTGTCAGTGAGCCTCTGATCACAGTGTTTTCCTGCTTGAAAAAGGTGTTAATGGTGATCAGCGTCAGGGAACGCTGTAGTTCCACAGCGTGTAAGGCTGTGTTTTATTGTGCAGTTTATGGGATTTAGAGAGTGGCTGTTGTAGGTGTCTTCTCATTCATAAAGGCTTTCTTTGATCCTGGTTCAAAGTGAGAGAAACTGAATGGAACTCGTCTGGATGTGTTCGACTGCCGGATCGGACTGATAATCATAACGTGATGTGGTGACTGTGATGACTTTTGGCATGAAAACCCAACTTTGCTCATGCATTCTGATGTACGGATCCAAGTTGCTGTCAGTTACATCTTCATATGTGTTGTGGCTCGTTGCTTCAGCAAGCGCAAAGAAAGACTCCTCATCTCCACTCTGCAGTACCACTGAGCATCAATAGAGCTCATTGTGTTACACTTTCCTCTTTGTTGTCAGGGTATATTCCGAGAACTTCCAAATAGCCCAGTATTCGTTTTAATATAAGTTTCTCATGGGTCCCAGAGAGATTTCTTGACAATATGTTTTTGCTTCGACTAACAATTATTTTTGTAGGCAATTAATCTGCAAACTATGTTCTTGATACATTTTTTTGTCAGCAAAATGAGCCAAATGAGTGCTCACCACATATTATACGTTTTGTCCGACCAACAGTACAAATACAGATGTATCTGTGTCTTTCAGCTTTTCTACAAGACAGAGAAAAGCTGAAAGCTTTCACATTTAGATGCTGCTGCACCAAAAGGTTTTCCACTGTTGCTCTAAACATTACTTACATTACGCAATTTTAACGTGTGACTGTTTCCCTCTCACACAGAAATCTTTTGGACCGAGACACTTTCTCCAAATCCGACCCATGTAAGTTCTCATCTTTTATCAATGCTAATTGTACGGGTGTTCCTTGTTCTGAAAGTGGGCAGTGACACCTACTGCGCTTTTGCAAAGCTATACTTTTTTACTTTTGCTGAGCTTTACTTTGATTCAGTTTACGCTGCTATTTCAAAGTGTTCCTCAATGACTGCATATTATTTGCACAGTAATGTGACAACCTTTCCTCCCTGAAAGTACCTTAATGCATGCAGGGTACAAAAGTCAGCCTTTGAATACGAATGGGTATCTTTTGTTGAGACACATGGGGAACTGCTACAAAGGCATTTCTTTTGATGCTCCCCGAGGGAGAGAGAATGGATGAGACATTTATCTCAATAGGGAGGCGGTTCAAGCCCCATGTAAATAAGCGACGGGGAAAATATCACACTAGTCCCGTTTTGTACTTGCCTAAAGATGAACCCGGATATTCAAGACAGGTCACGTCGTGTTCACCAGCCCCAGCTATGTTGTAAGTTGCAAAATCAAACAGGAATAAGGAGAATCCCACCATTAAGGAATTGCATTTTTATTCAATTGTCCTCCAGGAACGTTAAATCTTACTTTACGGCTTTGTGGAAATTATACCCCAGAATGTCACGCAACGCAGCATCATCAACCTTGGGACTTAATTATGCTGTCAGGGCTTGGCAGAATAATTAACGGTGAATGTGAGAAGAGAAGGAACGAACCCAAATGCCAAAAGCCCCATTTAAAGAAGCAGGATGTTGGATTGTGATTGTCTGTTAACAATGGATCATTTTTGTTCTGTCTCCTCTCGTCTCAGTGGTGGTGTTGTACACGCAGGGCGTCGAGTCCAAGCAATGGAGGGAGGTAAGAGATCACAGGCGGCCCTCCGCCGAGACGACTCAATCAGCTCAATCGTCTCCTCTCCATGACCCCCCGCTCTCTGTTCACACCCCCTTGCTCGCCATCCTCACCTCTCCTCCCTCAGGGCGAATGCTGGGACTGCCAATCATCTTCAATTGATTGACTCGGCTGATATCCGTGCGCTGGTCAGAACTCTGTTAGCTGTGGCTGATTTGCTGATTAAGGAGGCAGCTGTTCATATCAATAAAGATTTGACTCAGAATCCGCTCTGGCTGTTGGGCTTTAATGAGACCAGAGAGGCAGATTAGGTAGAGGAGGGCAGAGACTGCAGAAAAACGGATGATTCCTTTTGAAATTATTTGCCCATGTAATATCAACGGATGTCAGACAGGAAAACCACAACAAGGAAAAGTAGTTATTCCAGATTATTTTCTTGTTTTTGCATCTATGGCACCCTGTTATTCTTTGAGAACATGAAACAGTTCTTTGAAAAGCTAAAAGCCAACAGTCAGAAATGTGTACAGCTCAATAAATCCTGATATATAGACGCTGCCTAAAGAGTAGGACCCATACTTCCCATGTTAGGACCCATGAGAGCTCCTAACATTTTGCTTCTTTTTCCACAATCTGACTCAATCGGAGTGCTTGGTGTTTATGGACTCCACAGAGACCTTGGTGTCACGCTGGTGCACAGTGGTGTGACACACCGATGTGAGAGTGGGAAACACTCGGCTCCAAGACACAAAGGTTTTCAGTTATTATCTGTGTTTGGCTTTTAGTTTTCAAACCAGAGAGTAGTTTTTCAGATCGTCACGCAATGTAAACAGGCATCGAGCACAGAGAGTTTGAGGCGGGAAGAGAATCTTAATTCTGTCACCGCTGGCTGCACCGCCTCGCCTTGAGCTTGCAGACGCCCCGTGCAGGCGGGCTGTGTCTTCAGTGGAGGGGACGGCCGACTGTCAAGAGGCAAGCTGTTCAGCATTGATAAAGCTAAGCGCCGCTCTTTGCCCCTTGTGTCATCTAATGCGGTTTTGTTCTCCCAGGAGTAGATCTGGCTGGTCGGAGCACCTTTCACGGTGCCGTCAACCGTCTGTAATCCCATAACTCCTCTGTGCGGCACAAACTCCGCCATCGCCTTTAACATTTCTCCATCAGGAGCAGAGTAACAGAACTAATGGATGGACGGTGTTTTGATTCCTGGAGGATTGCTCCGTCCGCTCCACTTGAAACCTGGACTCCCTTTGACTTTCATCAGCCAGCTTGCACGCTGACAGATGAGAGGCCTTTTTTCACGCCAGCACGCATTTGTCGAGGCTGGCGGCTGTATTTTAAAATTCTTTTCAAACCCAAAAGAATGTCTGGTCTTGATCCTCGGAACATCTCAGACACGCCGTCAATAACAGCTGCAGACCTGTCACAAAGTTAACATCTCCTCCATGTGCACAGAGTACTTTCAAAGTCAAGTGAGGTGACAGTTTGTATTTCTGCTTTTCTCTTTTGCTGTTTTGTTGTTGATGTGCTTGCGTTGTCTGTTGTTCTATGTAAAGTACTTGTGATCTTCATTGAATGATGAATTGAATCCGTGGTTGAATGAATAAAAATAGCTGCAGCCCGTCATTCTGTTACCAAATGAGTGTAAAGTCTTAATATTCTCCTCCCAACTACCACATCTGTAATTACACTAGTAATTACATTACATTACATTACATGTCATTTAGCTGACGCTTTTATCCAAAGCGACGTACAATAAGTGCATTCAACCATAGGGTACAAACTCAGGAGAACAAGAAACAAGAAAGTGCAATTTCCTCAAATAAGCCAATTTACAATTTGCTATAGATGAGTGACGTTACAAGTACAATTTAAGTGCTACAATTTGTTAGTCTTTAGTCGAGGTAGAGTCTGAAGAGGTGTGTCTTTAGTTTGCGGCGGAAGATGTGAAGGCTCTTATTTCTCTATCTATCGCTTTTACTTAGCTGATGTAACTAAACCTCCTTAAATTCAAGCAAAGCCTTGTAGTTCCACTTCTAGTCAAGCGCTGAGACATTAATCTAATTAAGAGTAACTTCCTGACGCACACAATTTACTCCAGACGGGTTTTTCTCAGGCAGAAGAAGTGCACACTGCCAGCGCCCGGAGATCCCTGTGTCCCTGTCTTATTTTTTTTGGTAATGTTGACAGTTAATTGGGACCAAATTTAATACGTTGTTGGCTCCCTACTGCCGCATTCAACTTGTCATTAAAATAACTGATTGCCCGGTGGAGAGTTCACCTCCTCTTGCATCTGCTGAATGGGACCTCTCACTCTCTCACTCTCTCACTCTCTCACTCTCTACGTGGCGGCTGAGCGAGAGGAGAGCTGCTGCTACAGCTTTACCGTTGCAGCTCCCCACTTTATTTCCCATGTTGAGTTTTACCCCCACTGGATGTAATCACAAAGGTGTTCGCCTGTAATCCTGCTGTTTCATCTACTCATTAAGCTCTAACACCACTGTTATTAGTTCACTGTGTTGGATTATGGTTACACTTTCTTTTATTCATGCAGCTCAACGTCAGTTCTCTGACTTTGAATTATTCATTTTGGATACAATTAACGAGCTTGTGCAGGAGGGGCCCCGCTTTGAATCTCTGTTGATTTGTTTAGCTGCACCTCATCAGAATGGCTCTGTAAAGCTTACACATCTTATTTTTTGTGTCAGTGTGGGAAGATTCTTTTTACAACCAGGGAACAGAACATTTTTGGTCTTTCTGTCATTTGTCACAGTTTCACTGTGTAAAAGGCAAAATGTCAAAGTTTTTCAATTTTCTCTGCCTTTGTCTCGTCAGCCCTCCCTGCACCTTTTTGAAGTGGCTGTAAAGCGACGATGGCGTGAATGTGATATTAATTAAATAGGTGTAGTGGCACCTTCTAAGGCGTGCTTAACCCCAGCGCAACGAGAAGAGGTGGAGGAGCAGAGCTGACGCTGGGTGATCACTGAGTTCTGTTCATCAAATCTGAGCTTATGAGCCTGGAAACGCACTGGGTTGTGGGGGAAGATACTGGTGGGGGGGGGGGCGTCCCATTTCTGAGTGAATGCCTGATGTGTTCAGTCAAAGCTCTGGGCTCACTTCCTCCTCTTCTGTCTTTTTCCTGTTTCTTTTTTTCTGGTTCTGCTCTAGTTTGGGAGAACAGAGGTGATAGACAACACGCTGAACCCGGACTTTGTCAGGAAGTACATCCTGGACTACTTCTTTGAGGAGAAGCAGAACCTGCGCTTCGACGTGTGAGTTATTCTGTTTGATCTGGTCCTCTGGGGACTCACATCGAGGGCTGTGTGTTCCAGATGCTCCGTCTTCCTCCAACCCAGTCCTCCCAATTATTTCTCTTGTTTCCACCACGAGCTTTACATTGTCTCCCTCATTCATTGTGCATCTCTCCCCATCTATCTCTTCATTCCCTCTCCATCCTTCCTGCCTCCCCTCCCTTGGCACCCGCTTGGCTCTCCTTAGAAATTATTCATCGGTGCAGTGTCTCAGTCGTCATTTGTTGAAGGGAGATTGGTTTAAGGGTGATAAATATTTTATATAAAGTTTTATTCTTAATCTCCCTGCTGCTAAGCAAAGAAAATGTCTGAGATCCAAAAAGTCCCACACAACTCACAAAGGTCCCTTCCCTGCAGTCAAGAGTGTCAGGAAGGTGGATTTACAATTTGAGATCTCCCAGAAAGGAGTCAGGACTCCCCCTTTCCTCCCCCTTTCCTCCCTCCCCCACCTCCCTCCTGAAGTAGAACAACTATGATTTTTCTTAGCTTCAAGCATGGAGTCCCTGGTGGACCTCAGTGATGTATCCAGGACAGAGCTGCAGGTCTCAGTGGATTTTTAGACACATAATGAATGAATTTGGCGTGCTATCATGATGTGACTCAGGAAGAGGAAGCGGAGGAGTGCATCCCCTCTTAATTAGTGTTGCTCATCTACATCATTCTTTTATCACAGAAGTGGGAGCCGGGGCCTGGTGAGGTTTAATTACTTTTACACCAAGTTTGACTGGCAAACGCTGAAAACTTTATCCGCATTGGTAGATTGTTTCAATGTGATCCCCGAGGCATGGTATGGAAATTATATTTATGAACTATATAATGACTTCCTTAATTAACTGCAACATTATTGCTTATGCCTTTCCCCTTTGCTCCCTCAATGACTCAGGTGTGTGATTGATAAGCAGAAAATGTCCCCTCTGCAGCTAATACTGTTTTTATTGAAGCTGTTTACTGGTGTGTCAGTCTGATGATGTTTCACCCACATATTTACCCCTGTGATTTGTGGTCTTTTTGTGATTTCAGGTATGATATTGATTCTAAAAGTCCAGATCTAGCAAAGCATGTAAGTATATCAAATATTTTATTTGTTTGAGGTTCAGAAGTTGTATATATATATATATTGCCACAATACATCATACTTCATTGACTAAAATATTGTCTATCGTACATCCACCTCATTTTGTAAATTAAGTAATTGATTCCTCCAGGGCTAAAACAATTTGAGTTCTGTATACTTTCATTACTTTTTTTTTTTACACATTTCCTTTTGCCAGATTCTTGTTTGCAATTTATACAAATATCATATATAAAGGTACATTTCAAGACAATGTACATTGATAGGTATTTTTCTAAAAAAGGACAGCACGTCATTGTAGTTAGTGTCGTCATTTATGGTCAAAGCTTAAAGATAAATGAGCTCTTACTCATTCTACATTGGCACATAAAGAATATAATTGCCGCACTCGGTTTGCATGGAAGCAAAATGTTCAGCAGTAATTTGCTCTCTCACTGTGATGCTTTCATTGTTGTGTTTTTTGTGCTGCATGGTCTGGAATCAAACGGTTTTTTGAATGAAACTTGTTCGGCCTTCGTTGTTTTGTTCTTTTTCTCTTCCTCTGAGACTCTCTCTTTACCCTCTGCTATTCAGCTCTTTCACATTCCACTTTCGCTCTTCTTTCTGGCACTTGGTTGATGACAGTCTGGTATTTGAGTCCTGTCCCTTATGTTCCATGATATGCTCTGTTGTGTCACCGCTCCTGCCTGGTCTTTCTCTCATGCTCCTCCTTGTTCTTCACCCCGGAAGCCAACCGACTTCAACGTACGTGTCTGCCTCAGATGTCTTAATTCCTAAACGTACAATTCTTATAATGTTATGTAATGTCAATGTCCTCACCGACTCTCCTTGTTACCCCCGGTGATCACCTGAACGCCCCATCCTACTTCTCTCTCCTTCCCACTTTATGCTCCTCCCACGGCAGGACTTCCTGGGACAGGTCTACTGCACACTGGGAGAGATTGTGGGATCGCCCGCCAGTCGCCTGGAGAAACCTCTAGGGTGAGTGATCAGTCATTTTACCGTCCACTGCGGTTTGAGAAAACGGCACCTCAGAGCCGGCTAGAGATTTTTCCTTTACTTATTCTCTCAGGGAGACAAATTCAACAATATTACTATTGAAAACTCAATGCCACTAGACAACTATTTGAAAAGCAACACGGTTTTCATCCTGGAATTTCAAGCGTTGCGGCAAAGATGAGGCGGTGATGAGTATGTCTTCTACAGCCATCTGTATCCTACATTACACTGCAAGATTAGACCCGTGAGCTCGCATGAGGGCGGGTAATTGAACAGGACCGGGGGCTTCCTCGATGCAATTACTGTCTTTAGGAAGGCGGCGTTGCACAGGAGAACGGATTGCAGTCAGCGTGAGACACATGGCCCTGACAAGTCCTCCAACGTAAATTGGGAAATATGAAGCCCTGAAGCCATCGGCTCCAACAGGCTCTTTCTATGTGTCGGTTGGCGGGAGACACGGAGAGTATTTTTGTCAGACTGTGAAGCGCTCTGCCGCTCTGTAAAGTACTGTAGGAGGCGATTCTGGCCCCCGGGGGCGGGGGGCTGTTGTGAATTACAGGGCTTTGGTGTCGACCATGAACCCTGCCAGGGACTGGTGGCTGTGGATTACAGAGCTCTCTCTTGCCCTTCAGTGCTGAATAAGAGGATGAGAAGGATCAAGAGACAGTGTTAAGCAGCGTGCTGTAAACAGGGCTTCTCACATCACACAGAATGCTCAGAAGCCCCCCGGCAGACACGGTGGACACAAGTATTGATTCTGCAGCTCCAGCAGGTCACCTTGATCACCACTGACACTCTCCTGCAGCAGAGGGTGATGAAGATGATATGGGTGCTGTTACAGAAGGCGGTTTAAAAAAAACTGCATAAATGAGCCCTCATGAAACAGTCAGACGTGCTGCTGTCAGCAGTTTCAAGTAGCAATCATGAAATAAAGGGAAAGTATCCGTTTCTTTAAATGTTCTGTTCCGTTCCTGATAACATTCAGTTAAAGGAAGAATTGTACTTCCTCCCCGTCCTGTTTGAATAGCCAATCGGGATCCTGGGGGAGCGGCGTTTTTTCCTCGCCTCCTGTGATAGATGATAGCTTAGAAGTCGTTTAATGCTAATGTGCTCCATTTCACTCGTCATGCGTCCCAAAGTGACATTGGCTCTCCGGACCAGAGTTGAGGAACGGCTCCCGCAGGGACTGAGGAAATCTGTTAGCCGTGCTTAAACAAGCCTTCCCAAGGCACGATGCATCCAATGACCTGCTTAAGAGGCACATCGGCAGCCCCTTCCCCATTTACCACACTTCGCCTCCATTCATCCTCCCTCCTTCCAGCAACCAGATTGTATTTTTGTAACCTGACCCCCTTTCTCCTCATTGGTGTTTTTGGTTTCATTTTTTCTTCCCCCGAACCTCCTCTCTCTCAATCTGCCTTCATTTGACTCCCTTCTCCAACATGCAGATGTGTATTACTTTAGAGGCCATTGTACTTACTTATCTTCTAATGTTGGGCACATTCCTGACAAACTCTGACATGAGAGGGAACCCAATCATGGTTCTAACCTTCCTGTCTCTTTTTTTTTTATACCTTCAAACATCAGAATAAAAATCAGCTTCAAACATTTCTCCTTCAAAATACCGTTACGATTGTGTGTGCCTGTTTGCGAGTGTCAACATGCTATTGGCAAAGACTGTTTTGTGGACACCTTCACTATGATTTTGAACATGGAAAGGGTCAGGGTGAATATTGGGGTGAGCTCGCACAAACAAGTACTCCTGTTGGACGATTCCTTGTACCTACATTGTGATGAATACACACACACACACACACACACACACACACACACACACACACACACACACACAAACTCACTTTCCCTTTCATGTTTGCAGAAACCCGGTGGAATAATCCACCTCAATCAGTTTTGAATTTGTATGTGCTGTGCAGATGGAAGCAGATGTAATGTCGTGCCAGACTGATTTGTCTCTCAGGAAAATAGCAGGACAGATGAGATGTATCTCTGTCTTTATTAAGACAGAGATGTCTGCCAGAGGAAGGAAAGTTGAGCTACAAACAGCTGAACTGACAGTCTTACAGATCATTTCTGTTTATAATTTGTTTTTAACGAGAAGCATGTATCTAATTGCTAGCTGAGGAAATGCAAAGCTTAATGATTGACTGAACTTTTACACGGCGTAAGCTGCTCTCATGTTTGTGATTAGGTGTATAACCTCTACGAGGCAATCACACACTGGTTAAATAGCCAATGTGCATTATACAAATGGCCTTAACCTTTTCTGTTGATATGACAAAATATACAACACACTAGAGCTCATAAAATACAGCACAACATTAGCACGTCAAACCCATTAGCTTACTGTAACTGTGCCCTGCTGCGGTAAGCCTGAGGCAGGGCAATGAGCCATATGCAAATCTGCCGTGAGTGTCGTGGGTGTGCCGACTGCACCCGTGGGAGCCAAAGGAGGAGATGGTTCTGTAGAAATATAGCAGAAATAACCCACAAAGAGGTTCATGCTGAATTCAATATACTGATTGATCCGAGGCTTCAAATCTGAGGCTCATCTGAACTACAAACCATCTTTGAAATAATCAATGATGTTTTTGAGTGTTTTCATAGTGGCGACTGAATAGGAAATTCTGTGACACTAGTGCACTTTATGTGACTCTTAATTAGTTAACGTAAGAGGTCAGCAATTCTGTTTCCATTACAGTTATAAGGAAAGATGTAAGAAACTACAACAAGTCTTTTTGTTGTTTTATACAGTTTGCAGAGAATATAAACCTAAAGCAACTTCAATGACTCAGTTTATAGGAAGTGAAATGTGTGCTCTGTGGTTGCCTGGTCGTACTGCGGCCTTTTCAATCAATATTGATTTTGTGCCGTGTTTTACTATCAGCGTGACGGTTACTGTGTTTTCTTTAAGCCTTAAAACGTAAACTGAGAAATCTTTATAGCTCCTCAGAGCTTGCAACTCATCGGGGCTTTCAATGCAAACCATCAAAGGCAAAGCAGGATCTAGATTTAGCTTGGCGCAGAAGTGGAACTAAAATAATAAATGACCAAAATAAGACAAGATAAAAGTGCAGTTAAACTGACATTTTTGATGGAGACATAATCTGATTAGATGTGGCAGATTATTTGGCAGCAATATTTGATCTAAACCTCAGAAGCTTGATTTGATAATAATAAATACCATATCTGTGGAACATTAAATGTTGCGTATTTGTTGCCAGGGATCCGTGTATTTTATTTCCATCAATGAGTAATATTTGTAGGACGGGCATTACAGGAAGAATTTATGTAACAAAATGTAAGAATATTATCATCAGAAAATTGTGAGAAAACATTTCCCTCTGAAAACTGTGAAAGTTATAAATGACCATCAGCCGAGCAGTTGCTTCGCCTTTCACCTAATGTACAATGACAATAGTGTAATAGTTGCAATTAGTCAAATGAAGGTTCTTGCTGTAGACAGAAGCAATATCTAATTTGAAAATGTGGAGTCCGCTGCAGGTGTCCTTTTTGAAACCAATTCATTGTTGACACATTTTATTGTAGCTTTGAAACTAACTTACTTATTGCACTTCTATGACACCAGTTATTATTACAATCGTTGGCTACTTATTTAAACTAAACCTCTATTTTTTCCTGAAACAGGTAGTTTGGTGTGTAAGTAAACCTAAAAACAAATTTCCTCAAACTTTCCCCTCAATGCACTTTGTTTAATTAAACTGTTCTATAACTAGCTTAGGTCTCATGGTATGTATTAAGGTAACATTTGCTCAATCTGATTTGATTAATACAATACAATACAATTCAATACATTTAACATAAAAGGGTCAAATACATTTTTAAATGTCATTGTCACTTATTTCCCAATTTCTGTGTCAAGTAGCAGCGATGGCTTTCAGAGACTGACTTCCGAGACTCAGTCCTTTTTAAAGTTTAGTTAATGTTTGTGTGACTTATTTGAGGCTACACGGCGGTAAAAAAAATAACTGCAGATTTAAATAATGAGTGGGAGTGAGTTCATTTTTTGGTGCAACTAAAATTCCTGAATTATCTACTCTTCATAGTGCATAGATATTTTTCTTTGCGTATTTAGCCTAATGATTTCTTGTTTCACTGGGAGGTGAAGTGTTTTAGACGTTTTACAGCGTTCAGCATCTTCTGCCTTGGGACATTACACACAATTAGAGCTTTTTGCTGCTTCGCTAAATGCCAATTTGGCCTCCAAATGTGAAAACTAACAAGTATCCGTCCCTCCTCACTAATGTGTGATTCTGCTTATTGAGGAAAAACCCAGCCGTGCCCGTTCTAAGAAAAGAACCCTTTTTGCCCGGCAAAACAATCATTTACATTATAACATTCTGCTTTCACTATAAGCGAATGACTCACTTCTCAGCACAACAAGCTGCAACAAACTGTGTTGAACTGCTCTGTTTCTGACTTGGAGGACTGTGGCGTCACAAAAATTCTAAGCAACCTTTTGTCTTCCATGAAAAGAGACAGGTCCTTTTATAGCGGTGTGGATCACCTTTTTCTTCAGACTCATGATGGAGGCCTCAAGTTTAAGAGCAGAGGAGTTTTTTCCTTCGGATGAGCCCACCTGATTTCCAGCAGTTTTAATCTCTGTCCCGTCTGACGGAAAAGGTACCCGAAGAGCCTCTGAACGAGCGCTCGGCTGCCTCAGTTTAACACCCCCTCGTTAGTAATCTATTAAACAGCCGAAAGCGATCTGTCGCCGAGCAGATTGCAATATAAAGTCAGCACTCAGCGGCACGGAGGAGAACAAGGATTCCAATACTTACGTACGGAGCTCCGGGAGAGGAGGTGAGAAAAGACGCGGCCGGATGTGGGAGTCAAGAATCATCTGTGAGTTGATATGAAATATGAAACACTAATTACCTCAAATAACGAGATGATTTTGATTGATTGAGGTTGTGATGGTGCTCATAATGCACCCGTCGGATTCCTGGAGAAGACGATCGGTTACACGACGACAAAAAAAAAAAAAAGAGATGGCATGTTGACAATGTGGTTACGTGCCTTATACCTTGTTTCCACTGTTTAAAAAAAGCAGACACATTCTTTACTCGTAGCTGTTCGGTACGTCCTTCCGACACGTTTTGGCCCTTTTTATCTGCTTGGTGCTCATTCTAACAAAGGTGCAAATAGCTTAGCACAGGTTGCCCGTGGCTACCTGAACACAAACACCAGCTCCTCCTGCAGCAGTAGGAGGCAATTATTCTGTTCCTCTCTTAGAACTACAGTTGTCCTTTTAAATTAGCCGGTGCACTTCTCATCCTCTTTATTAATCCCGGTGAGGTGAGGGATTATGGATACTTATCGGTGTATTGAGATCAAAGGGGGGGGATTAGGGGAATAATCCCATTTGAACCCATGTAGACTTTTGGCAACCTTGTCTAATTCTATTCAACTATGATCTGACAACTGCACCAAACGTTTACGGTGGCACAGAGTCACATATTATCTGTCTTCCTTCCACCTCTTTTGGTCTCAAACCAGTTGGATTCGTTCAGTTGCCCTTATCAAGCACAAAGATTCACCCTGATTCTGTAATCAAGGCAATCACGCTGAAATCATTTTTCATGCAGACGAATTATCCTGTTTCTTGTCTTTTGACACTTACCAAAATAATATTTTTTTATTTGCTGGCCCGTCGGGGGGAAATTGCAAAGTATCAATCTTCTTAGCATAATGACACTGCAGTCATTTTGTCTAGAAGGAAAATATGTAGAAGAGATCCCCCCCTGCAACAGCGGCAGTGTGAAGAAATCATTTTCTTCTTCTTGGGCTCTCACTCATTTTGTTGGGCAGATAACCGCCCCCCACTCCCATATGTACGACACGTCGCTGCGTTAGTTAAATACCAAGCCCATTCCTCATCCTAATGACCTAACGTGAACTGCATCAACAATTGCTTCCTTGTCTCTCTTCAGACTTTAATCTCACCAACCTCCACCCAGCCCACCTCCGCACCGATAGGTAATGGGGAATACAGAAATTGTGAATCCCCCAAATCATGACAGCAACTGTATCTAGATGGGAAATTATAGAGGGCATAAATTAAAGCAGGATATCCATATTCTAATATGTCATGTGCAGTGATCCTTGATAGAATACTTGATTCAAATATGTTTTAGCAGAGGAAAAGAGCCAATATCAGACACTTTAGGCAAATAATTGTAGTGATGATGAAATATGCTGCTTGATCTCTTCCCATTCAGGGGATCTGGCAAAACAGCTCCTTGTTTCCCGGGGAGCTTTCTCTCTGTGCAAAGGAGGCAACTCTGGTACATGGCAGTGTTTCAATTCTGTCTCTACTTGTTCTTTCTCAGGCTTTGTCTGATCCTCTGGGTTTCTGTTGAATAGACGGGGCAGCAGAGGACGCATCCGGCCTCGCTAACAGTATGCTAATTTGACTACTGTATAAATATTAGACCCAACGAGATATTCAGGCAACGCACGTGCACGTCGCCGGGTGGCGTTTGGATGAACATATGGCAAGATGTCTGTTGAGTCCCAATGGGAGCCTTTAAGTGACTGTGTTAGTTAATGAGAGCTGTGGATGGTGTTCGGTATAATGGCACATTAGAATGCGGTTAGTGCAGTCACTGCTCACCTGCAGTCCCCAGAAGCCTTAAGGCCTTTTTATTCCATTAATCATTCACTGGAAGCACCGGCGCCATGGACGATAAAAAGCTTCTGCGAACGAGAACACCTTATTAAAAAAACGGTCAGCTCTTCACACTCTGAATTCAGATGTTTGTTGTAATTTGAATAGTTAAATGTTTGAGCAGCGCAGAATCAGTGGAGACAAAAGAAACATTTACAACTGATTTAACTACTGTCGGTTCCTCACAGCAGTCGGACCGATGGGCTTGTTCACATGCACAGTACGGCCAGTAAGGAGTAAGGAGGGAAGCAGCAGCCGCTGCAAATTTCACACAATTTCATCATCAACGCGCTTTCCCACCGCGGAACCATCCGTGAATGAGCACATGAGCGAATGAGTGCTTGTGATACAGGACACTTCCTATCATCAGAAGTCACATTTCATTGCAGAAGCTGGTACAAATGGCAGGAAAACGATCAGTTTCTGCAATAACAACAAACTCTTATGCCACAGGAATTGTATTTATCCATTCAGTGCTTCTCTTCAGGGATAATAGGCACTGTCAGAGGAAATGCAGCCCTCACGAACGCCTAATTTAAAACGAGCATTGCCCTTTACCTGCTCTCGTCTCAGCAGCAGAGATTAGATCGGGGTGGTGCGTCCGGAGCTGGTATTTTACAAAATTACTAGATCTCATTTCAATCAAGAGTATAAGTCATTATAGTGACCCGAGAGTGATAAACTTAACCTGACTGTGCAGGGTTTATTGACCCTTTGTAGCATCATGAATTACACGGTAGCGACTCGAAGCTGAATTCGATTCAAGGGTATTTTATTTACCTTGAAATTAGTAGTCTCGGAGCTTTGGGATGACGCCTCCCTGCCCTCTCAAAGGGTGATGGGTTTGTTTTACAAATTTTCCTCATTAAAGGGCGACACTATCGAAGTTTTCTTGCACACACTCCGGCTGGTGAACAGAATTTCCAATCCGATGCCTTTGGTCAGTAGATTTATATTAATGTTGATCCAAGTGGATACTGGAAGGGCTAATGTTGCGTTTATGGAGTATTAAAATGTGTGTACTGTATTAAGGGCTTTGGCCAATACATGTAAGTGTGCAAAATTAAGCTTTCAAATGATGCTGTACATCTCCTGGTATACGCTTTACTGTTTGTCCAACCATCGCAGGTTTGAGCTACTGCAGGCTTCTGCTGCTCTAGTCGTATTTTGCCTCGCATTTAGCGGGGTGGAATCCAGTATAACTGGCAGTCAGATTAACTGTCATAGCTTAATGAGGATTTGCAGCAGGTCTGACCTTCTAATGATTGCTCTCCAGCTACAGCCGCAGCAGGACTCCCTTGTAAGTTCCTTCTTTTCCGGAAAGATGACAGGAATGTCAGCAGCTGGAGTGATTTGGTGTGATGGGAAAGTAGATATGCCGTCTGGCTCTGTATTGAGGGGAATGGGCTCTTCCTTCACTGGATGCAGAGAGTTGAAAATCAAAAAACTTTGTACAAACTGTGGTGCTACTAAGTCTGTATTTTGTTAGCCACATTGGGCTGTTGAGCTACTGAAGAGGGGAAGCATTGAAATGCAGACACACAGGGACCACTCTATTGCTACGATACATCTCCATCATCTGCTGGAGCGGAATAAGTGGTAAATAACTGCAGGCTGCGGAGCTTTAAACTCTCAGTCTGATGCTGGCAAAGACGGATGAGAGGACTCATGTTCAATGCTGTTTGATTACAAAGGGGAAACAAAATAATATTTTATATAATTTAAGCAGCAAATGTATGTAAAAATACACCTGTTTAGTCATTACATCAATTGAAAGTTATGACTGTATAAATAGCTTAATGGTGATAAGCTTTTCTAATAATTATTTATATTTAGGTTTCTGGTATACTCTCTGGGGCAAATATAATCCCTGATTTACTATCTTTCAGAAGATAACTGAATTTATCAAAAAAAGGTTAATGCTGGAGCCAAAATAGCTTTGCAATCCCTCTACTATCCATTATTCCTCAATCTCCCCCTCCATCACACGCAGAGATCATACAACAGAGATCATAGGGGGTGTCGGCACTTTACTACCTTGGAATTGCAGAAATCCTCACGGGGCCTTTGATCTCCAAACAAGGCAGGGACGGGGATGTTTGAGTGGATCTTGTTTGTAAAAGTGAATGAGTTCTATTGGTTTTCACAGCGGCATTCCTGGGAAGAAATGCGGGACCATCATCTTGTCTGCTGAGGAGCTGGGAAACTGCAGAGTAAGTTTTGATTATTTTAACCCCTACATTTTGTCATTTGGTTACAACGTGGGTTTCATAATAAATGTTTTGCAATGTTCACTAAACTAATTTGAATGGGGACTCTTAATATGGCACAATAAAGGGCAATCAAACGTATTGAAATAGTTTGGGACACTCTGTTGGTAAATGTCGTATTGTGTCCCCTAATGCATATACTGAGCGGAGCGGCTGGTGTAATGACCTTTACGTCAGCTGGATGTATTGTGCCATAACAGCCCCCATTAAACTAGCAGGATACGCCGTGTCTTTCTTCATGTTTTTTCAAATGGAAATTGTATACTTAGTGAACGGGCTTTGAGTTTGAATGCGTATTTAATGAGCTTGCTTATATTACCCTCGCTCAAGCAGACGTTTCCTTCGATGTGTGTTGTGGTAATAAACCGTGTCCGATAATATATACTACTGGCTTTCTCTCTGTACTGCTAAATGAAAAAATTGATATCAATATTCTGCTGCCGGGGAGAGTATCAAGACTTATTAGCCAGAACAACTGGGCTCCATCGAAGGCTCTAAACAGGCCTTTGAGCAGCAACTACTGTGTGGATGGTTGATGATATCCTGATGCTTGTAGGCATCAACTGGTTTAAAGGCTTGTAACTTCCAGTCATACATGTCGAGTACAACGCTACAATCTAGTTTCACAGCTATTGTGCTTGACTTTGAAGAAGATTTATAAATACTTCCTGATAAATACACAGCCCTCCCCACCCGATTAGAGCAAGACAGATAAGCCATGCTTCTAATAAAACTGCCATCTACATCACTCGTTTGCTTCTTGCTGGATTGGAGCGAGCACAGTCATTGAGGGGCTGGTGTGAGTCACCAGGTGGATCCGCAATGACAGAAGTTAGCATAATCACTGCAAAGCCCCACTTCACTTGTTTTGTAACAAAAATTGTTATAACTGGTAAGAATTACCATTTCCTTTGTACCAGACTCCAATAAATACAACCAGAGTTGACATGTCACCCCATGTTTACACAGAATCTGACCTTGAATGGAACAACCTCATGTTTGAGTAAATAACAGAGAACTGAAAGAACACACTTACTGTAATTGAATAAACTAAAGACCCGGCTGTGAGAACAAGTCCCACACCTGTGCAATACAGCAGCTTGGAATCGCAACAATCCATCTGGATAGTGTTTATTCTATAATTCACGTGTGAGCAATAAATAGCGGCAGCTGAGCTGCTGCCGTGCCTGAAGGAAACATTTCCACTCTTGTTTGGAGAAACTAAAACCAGCACAGTGGGAATCAACTGGGGAAGTTCTGCAGGCATGGTTAACCTGTCTGGATCTCACCTCCGTGGTGGGTTTGCCAGGTGTCATTAGAGAAGGCAGTAGCCTCTGCGTGGTTCAAAGGCTTCCTCTTGGCTAGTTCATATTTAGATGTAGTTCTGTGTCTTTCTCACAAGTTTATTCATAGTTCAGTATTTATTCGGTTGTGCTCAGATGAACCATCCGTTCCTAAACTCACCAATAAGCCCAATTACCAGTAACTGTTTGGATTGTATGATGTATTTGCTTAAGGAAGTACTATTTAGTTCATCACTTCCACTTTTTCATTCCATCTTCATTTTTTTGTGCACATCTCAAACTGATCCTTTGGACTTTCCCTGTTAGTCCGACTCTTAGTGACAGCATGCGTTGCTCTAACACTGCAAAGCAGGATACCGACTGCACTCAGTATTCCCCTGCTGCTCTTGAACCTCACTCGCTGAAAATAATATATATTTTTTTTCACACTTAATGAGAGAACACTGTAAGGGACTAAAGTGGGTATGTGTTCTTATTGCCCTGAACGTGTGATCGCAAAGGCCATATTAGAGTGAAGAGGAAAAGTTATGGGATGCCTCTATTTTTAAGGGTTTGGATGACATAAGCAAACTTCAAATCCACCAAACAAGCCACAATGGGAACATACTGGATTAAATGTTCTTGAGAAAATCCACTCTGCTGATGAGCTTGACTTTCAGCACTCTGGAGGACTGTGTGCGCATCAGGGATACCAAGAGGAAAATATATTCTCCAACTACAAAGTGTAATTGCTTTATTCAGTCGCCACTGCCTGTTTCATTCAGCTTTTTACTTTATTTTTGTCCTGACATTAACACAGCATTGCTTAGGAACATTAATTGGGATCAGAGTAATTATTCCAGCACAATTTTAGCCCACCACCCTACACACACACACATACACACACACACACACACACACACACACACACACACATATTTTTAAAATCCATCCAGCCTCTGTATTGTCTCTCATACTGGTTCTATGATTAAATGCTGCACAACAAATTCAATTTGAGACCATTTACCCCGTTCACTGTTGTTCTGCAGGACCAGCGTTATAAATAATGATAATGAATGAATGCATTTGCAGATTATAACTGTTTTGGAAATTAGCACCCATTGGCTGGTTTCACTCTGCTCAGGACACAATTCAGTAAGCAATTTGCTTTTGTTTAGTGCTTCAGTGCTTTTACATCTTGGCACACAGGATATGTAAACAAAAGCATGGATTTGCAATTTAATTTACTTTTTTTTCTTTTCATTTCACTGACTTTCTGTTATTTTCCTTTGTCTGTAGGATTATGCCACCATGCAATTCTCTGCCAACAAACTAGATAAAAAGGACTTCTTCGGAAAGTCGGACCCCTTCATGGTCTTCTACAGAAGCAACGAGGATGGCACGTGAGTTGGTCTCCAGCCGCTGCATCTCAGTGGCTATTCCATTTCAGCCTATCAAAGACAGGTGGGATCAAAGAGGAGGTGAACCAAACAATTAAAATTCCTTGAGCTCAGCGGCATCGAGATATATTCACGGAGCAAAGCGTAGCGGGAAGATTGTATCTCTGTTTTTGTTATCATAGAGATTCTTCTTTGAGGATTTTAAACCCCTGTCGATTTGCGTCTCCAGGTTCACCATCTGCCACAAGACTGAAGTGGTGAAGAACACGCTGAACCCTGTGTGGCAGCCCTTCTCCATCCCGGTTAGAGGGCTCTGCAACGGAGACTACGACAGGTGAGACGACGAGGATGTGCAACAAAGGGTTCTGCAAGCTTAACACATGCGGGACTGTGTGACTTTCTGGTGGAAATCAAAGCCGTGGAGCGTCTCAGAATGCTGTGCAGCTCTGTTGAGAATGTTTTTTGCGTGTCAAATTCAGACTATTCATTTTATACCAATGTTTTATCTGCTTTGTTGTATCTGCCACACGAAGAGAAAAATATTTCCGCCGTCAAGTTTTTGATTTGCTGCTCTAGTGGCGTTTCCTATCTTATCTGCATCTCTTCAGAGCAAAAGGCCCCATTGGATACCCGGGGAGCTGGAGTTTTGGCAGGAAAATACAATATAGGAGACAGAGAGAGAGAGAGAGAGTTAAAAGTCTCTGTACTCGTCGTTGTTCTATGGATGACTCGTGGCTAAAACAGCAGCGCGGCCCCTGCTTTTCTGAGCGAGCATAAGCATTAGAGTGTGCAGACGCGGACAGCCATTAGAGTGTGTAGAAGTTGTCAGAGACCATGTCAAACCTCGCCCCCTCCATCCGGCTGGGTGTCGAGTGAGGTTCTTCCCCTTTCGATCCTGCCTCCCCGCACCTACCAGGAGACACTAATTGGGTCAGACAGATGGAATGGAAGCATGAAAGAAGCCTGATTCCCTTTGAGGTATATCTTGAGCGAATTAGGGGTCTCCCTGACATTTCCTGTGAAACAGCTGCAGTTTGCCTTTTTGACATAACAGAAACGGGGGGGGGGCAGGATGCTCGGGGGACGGGTCAAACAAACACAGGATTTTGGCTCAGGAGATCGCTGTTCGTGTCTGAAAGTGACTGCTGCGAGCGATGCGGAGGCAATTCCTCAATCATAGACTCTGAGTTCTGTACATAACTCAATTAAAGTGGGAAAACGACTAGTTTTGTCTCAGAATCGGGTTAAAATGTTAATGCCTAATCTCTCTCTGCACTAAATGGATTGTATACGTTTGCTATTGGAGGGGAACACATTGAGTGCAGATGGAATAAGTTTACGTCAGGATAACAAGGCAGAGCCCTCCAGCAGCGTGCCTCCTCCTGGACTCGCACAAACATGATTGACAGTTGCTTGTGGGGGAGCCACTGATCTTTCCATCAGATATAGAATAAAAGAGGAAGCAATTTCTTCTCTCTGATGTGAATTATCTCAGCCTCACTTATTTGGATTCTTTCCTTGCAACCTATTTCAGGAACTTGCAAAATATTCTCCCTCCCAAAAGGTTAGTTTTCTATCTTTGGCGCGTGCAGGGAAATGATTTACTGCAACTCAAATGCTTTCTTCTGTGAGAAACACAAACTAACTACAACAACAATTATTAAACCCTTGATTTCGGTTCAGTACTCTGCTCTGAAAAGGTTTTTTAATGCAAGATTGACAAATATCATGCGTTGAGTTGCTATTGGTCTTAGTCTAACTTAAATTATTTGTTATTAGCTGATGTATATAAAATGTGTTTTCCAACACAAAGCAGGCTCTTTCTATTAATTTAATTAAGCAACAATTACTGAGCTTGATATAACTTTCTCTGCACATCATTTCAAAGTGGTTCCCATGCTGCATAAATGCTTTCAACAGGTTTTCCTCTTTGGATGTCTTTCACAGGACAATTAAAGTGGAGGTGTATGACTGGGACAGAGACGGGAGGTAATGGATGGACACAGACAGCAGTTACAGTACAATGATAAATCATGTAGTTTGAACACTTCTCCACATATCTTGCCCACTTCTATTTTAACTCCCCCACGAGATGCATTTTCATCACATTATTGTCTTCTTAAGTTCTTTTTCATTAACAATCAACGTTATAATTCCCGCTGTGCGTCACTGGTTCTTCTCCCTCTCAGAGTGGTTCCCTCTGCATCTGAATCAACGTTGTATCATTCAGGTTTTGTCCCTTTTCTCCAGCCACGATTTCATCGGTGAATTCACCACCAGATATAAAGACCTATGTCGAGGCCTGAACCAGATCAACGTATACGAGGTGAGTCGATACTGACAGTGTGAATAGCGGACTCCCCCCCTCTAATCACAGGACGGGGTCCAGATCATAACATTGACCTAAATTCTGTGTGATACTTATGACGTTCCTCTTTCGTCTCTCTTCAAAACTGCCTCAAAGTAGAATCCAATACTGAAGTGAAGCTCAGGTGTGAGCTAAAACACACAAGCTCCACCTCTTGGAACAACCGTCTTAATTCAACCGCAAAGCATTGCGCCCGTCTAGCTGGCGAGGTTCTGGTTGAATGACTGGCCTGTGGTTGTTTGAGTCGGGGCTGTTTGAACAGCCGCGTCTCTCCTCGCCCTGCACCGTATTTAGCAGTCTGAGAGGTTAAGTGATGCAGCTGACCAGATGAGGAAGAGTGAATTCAACTGAACCGTGCTGCTGATTAGAGTTTTTTCGGGTTGTCCCTGGAGGGTAAGAGAGGGTATTTCTGTTGGGCGCTCGGGGACTCCTTTTGGTCCCTGCTCATTAAAACACTTGCCATGTTACATTAGACTATGAATAAGTCATGGAGGGGGCTTAAGGAAGGAGCAGTCATTGAAAAGAGGATGAGAGAAGAAGAGGGTGGAGGGCCGACGGGGAGGTGTGAACCTGAACGACGGCGAGAGATCAGTCAGTGTCACGCAGAGTTGCCCGTTCACACGGCCGATAGGGCCGAAGGTGCATCCATTACCCTTCACCACACCTCGCTTCTAATTAGAAAATGAGATGCAGCCGAGTCCTGATGAACTCTTTGCCGGGACACTGCACTTCCATCAATTTCGAGATGTGGTAAAAAAACAACAACACAAAGCTACCACATCACTGTTGACATAATACATCGAATAGGTCCCTTGCCACAGATTCCGGTGTACTTAACCCGGCACAAACCTCTCAACCTGACACGTGGACGTCGGCTCTGTGATTTGGGGGTGACAGCGGGCTAATGCCGACAGGGGTTGGTGTAATTGAGGGTGATGTGTGTGTGACATAATGTGAGCCTGGCGGGTGACGAATGCGGTGCTGGAAAGCCTCGTCTGCGTCGGAAAGAGTCGAGGAGAAGCATCAGAAGCCAGCGAGGCGTTGCGGAGGAGAGCGGGACAGCGGGATAGCTTTTAGTTCTTTGTGCAGCGCTGTTTGCTGCGGTTTGGTGCTTCGTGTCTGTGTGCGGACCCGTAGAATGAGCACTAGACATTTACACTGCCGTGGCTCATTGATGCACAGGTTCCTGTTACGATGCTCCAAAAGTAACATTGATGAAATAGAATTAAATAGAAACTAAACGTACACTCAAACGCTCAAACTACTAACTAACAGCTGGGTAAGAATACTCCAATTTGACAAAAACTGCAGAAACTCTGATAGAAATGCCGTTGAACTTTTTCTTAATTTTCGTTAGTCCCGAAGCCTACTTGTTCATTAGCACACACCCGCTTAATAATAATAATAATAAGAGCTGCTGCTCAGCGAGCTCACCCAGTAACTTCTGCACAAACACTAACCCAGTTTTCTGTTCTATAAAATCAAGAGAGCTTGTAACAGACGTAGAAAACAGCCGACCCCCACGTCAGCCTGGGAGTATCGGCGGGCTTGTGGCTCGCTTCACTTAGTGGTTCAAACATCATTAACAAAAAGTTTGCCGATCCGGCGACGGGTCAGGCCAGGCTCTCGGGGTTGGATCACTGTTTGATTTGCTTTGTTGGCTGAGTTTGAGCTGGCGGCTTACAGAAGATCAGTGCTCTGAGCCCCCGGAGGTGGGGAGGACAAAACAAAAAAAAAGGAAGTTGTTTTCTCATTTCCGCCACTTTGAATTCGATCCAATCAGTCAAACGTTCTCTCTCCTGTTTCCTGTGGATTGGACTCAACAGGGACTCAAATTCTTGCCGTATCTTACACATTTCACTTTTTAACGTAAGGGGTACTGCAATCGCTCATAACTGGCTTTTCTTGCTTTCCACTCTGTTAGTTTGTTTCCCTGGGTTACATATTATTACTATTTATCACAGGGTTTTGGTTAGGATTGATACGTCTCCCACCATCCTCAAGCTTGGTAATCTGCATGTAAAATGTGCTGCACAGTCTAGCTGCTTATAAAAACAACCCTGAATTATCTGCAGCTGGCTCCGGGCGTGATCAATGCTGTCTCATTCCCACCTACTACAGTTATTGGATTCTGTCCCTGTGCTCCATTACCCTTAAAGACATAGAACAATGTTTGTATTACATGCCCGAGGGGGGATAACAATAATTATTCTGCACATTTTCACCACCCTTCCCTTCCTACTCTACCATCATAACAGGTGGTGAATGCCAAGAAGAAAGTAAAGAAAAAGAGATACATCAACTCTGGGACGGTGAGCTACTGGTTTTCCCAAAAAGATGTGTGAGGCGTTTCAGTTGAATGTTTTCGTTCCATTCCCAGTGAAGATGGATGTTTTTAGACGAGCTGGAGCTTTTGTTTCCGTCTGCTCTCTCCGTAATTAAAATCTGTGGGTAGTTTTCCATCACACTGATCATCCATCATTGCACGGCCGCACTGACGGTCTCTCAGTGGTTGTAATGCTAATATGCTGCCCGAGCGTCAAAGTCATTCACCGTGGATAAGTCATTTTTTGGGTGGTTAGCCCGGAGGTCAGTGTTAATGTCTAGATTGGTAGATTTAGCTTTCCTAAATTACCACACATGAGGTAATGTATTTGGACCTTTTTTTTCACAGGTGTCCTTGTTGTCGTGCAGCGTGGAGTCAGAGCACACCTTCCTGGATTACATCAAAGGAGGGTGAGTAATGTGTGTCTGATAATGATGTTACTATTCATGTGCATGCGCAATATTTTAATGCATTACCTTTGTGCCGGGCTCCAGGGGCATTAACACGGAAAGTTTCTCTATCTTGCTTGTTGTTTATTCACTTGGATGTTTGAGCTTCACCGTGCGGAATGTTGTTTGTCCATATTTAGACATGAAAAGTGGGTTTTCACATTAATCTACTGAAAAGGGGGAAAGTTTCACATGTACGAGCCTTCACAACCAAGCCAATCATGGTTCAGTATGTAACTTAAGGAAAAGGTTTCTTCTGCAAACATACAGAGAATTATCTTCTCAGGTAAGCTATCTGGTTTTCAGTATAGTTACATAAAAATGAAAGGAAAAAGGAAAAAACATATCATGCACACAAACTATGTCGTATTGGAGTTATAAGTAATGTGTCTCCGACTTGCTCTAAAGTATGTCATGAGGCGCTTAATAAAACAGAAGCTTCACATTGGCCAAACAAATTCAATCAAATAAACTACATATTGAATGAATTTTATGTTCTCGTGGAAAAGTATTCTAATCATCATTAGACAGAAGTTGTGATCATGCCAACATCTTCATGATGTGAAGCTTTTATCATGGGAATCTGTCCTATTGATTCCGTGAGATGCCATTAACCATCCCAGTGTGATGATGGCTGATTCCATTCTGAAATCTATTACATCGTCTGCTGCTCCACCATCAGCTTTGATGAACTGTATACCTGGAGGCAAAGACATAAAAGAAATACAAGTTGAGTATTCTTTCACTAGTATCTTCATACATACAAACAGTTTTTACTTATTAATCAAGACTTAACCAGTTCAACTAAAATCTCCAAAGTGTCAATCTGATAATGCAAGTGTTGCCTATTATCGACTGATCATCAAATACGGTTGTTCACTTTTTCAATCAATCCATGTATTATATTGTTTGTAAAAATATCCTCATGTTGTTTGTCTTAAAGGAGAAAGATAGAATCCCGCCTCCTCCACCTGATTTTAGCGGATAACATGTTTACACCCGATGCGCTTATGTTCATGCTCTGCTTAAACAACGTAGACTTTTATTCATAAATGATTGTTTATTTGATTACCACATGAAATTGTCAGAATGCGGCTCCTCACCTCAGATGAAATGGTCAACTATCAAATTAACAAGTTAAAACACTTGCCTGCGTAAACATGACATCACTCTGACTAATCACAGAAGTCAGGGGGCACATTTGTACTGTAAAACGTAACACAGCAGGCTTAAGAGCATTCTGTGGCTCCCCTGGTTCATCCTCTCTTCAATCCACCCAGATGCTCATCTCATTGCTGGCCCACATTTTTCGGGTAATACTGACTGCAGTTAGTGTGAAGTGTAAAGTGTGCCCACCCCTCCCCCCAAAGGTGACTATGTTGTACATATTCCAAACAGTATTGTCTATGAATAAGAATGAATGCGATGAATTATGGAGACTATCGCTGAGCTTAATTGAAGACGGACAACCCGTCCCATGCAGGGAGGTTCCTCGGTGGCTGCCCTGGTTTTACGGTTCTGCTGCTGATGGCTGAGTGTCCCAGATCTGTCCCGCTGGCCCTCTCACATGATCACACGTAGACAGACTTACATGCATTCAAGGTACCAGTGTGTTCATCCTTTGTTTTACTACCTGTTGGCTTTTGATTTGCTTATTTGTTGAGTCTAAATCACACCTCACTGCACTTAGTTGAATATTTCAGGTATTCAGTTCGGGTTTTTCATCGCTCTGTTGGTGCATCTTGACATCATTTCATATTCAAACCCACATAAACACTCGTCCAAGTTCTCTACAACTCACATGTGAGCACTGGGATTTAACCTCTTTATCAAAGATATCACCAGCAATTCCCCACTAATCTCTGACAGATGCCCTCACAAATAGCTCGCAAGATTTCCTTGATTCTTCCAGCATTTCAACAAAAGAATAAATTAAGATGAAACTGTTTCGAGCACGCAGAACTTAATACCTTTTATTGGTTACCTGCTCCGTGATTCATGTTTTAAGATGAGAAAATACTAAACAGAAGGCTTGCCTTCTCCAGTCTAATAGTAAACATCGTGTAACTGACGTTCCCCAGAGAAAAGCTTCCAAAAATAGCATTTATTCCACCTTTTCTCCTCCTTATAATGGTCCTTATAAGTTTAACTACTGAGAGACTTATTTCTGATGTCATTGGCATATTTTTTACAATTAACGTAAATGTTAAATCCCCACAAAATTGAACTTCCCCGTAGAAGCGTTAATGTGAATACTCTAAACTAAAATTGAACTCTCAACTCAGTCCGAAGCTTGAAACAGCTTTTTACCCGTCATGTTAAATGACTTCACACAAAACTATTCCAGACAGAAGTGAGAGAGCGATTACACCATTAATTAATGTGAACTAGCATGGGGACAGAAGCATTACGTTCAGTGGTACTTCATCATTTTTAGACATTTTGAGATATTAAAAGCTCATCGGGTTGTTTAGTGTAAAAAATTAAATCCCTGAGAAGATATTCTCTCACTTATATTCCTTCTTGAGGAATTGAAAATCATCATGAAACACTGGCTGTGGCCTGTGTGCCTTCATTTGTCTTCGTCTGTGTATTAAAAGTCTCATGCGGAGAAGCAAAGAGGAGAGTTTCCTGGAAACGTCATAAAACATGACAGCTGCGGGGGATTCAGAAATATTACTCATCTCCTGGTGTCTTTGTGCTGTAAATCACGGCCATCTCGAACATTTATTTTTGATTTATTGATGGAGCCTCTTTTCTTTTTTGTTGTAACACTTTTTTGCCAAATTATCTTCCGAAAGAAAAGAGCAATTAAATCTTGTTTGACTGAGCTGTAAATAAGAAGGATGTCAATATCCTGCATGCAGCAGATTACCTTTACTCATTGTGTTAATGAGATGATCTACACACACAACCGAACTGTAAATTATAATTTCAATGATTCAAAGCTCTCATTCATTATGTGTTAATGAATTCCTCTGTTTATTGACGTTCTCATAGTTAGACATTAGAATGAAATAAAATATGGGTGATTCAAAGCAGCGAGCTCCAAGGTTGTAAAATGAGATTATAGAAATCGATAAGCGTCCATCAAGAGGTCCTTCAGGACGCCTGTAATGAATATGTACAGAATGTTTGTCCACATAGCATTAACCAGCAGATACAGAACAGAAGTATAAAAAAAAGAGTTTATAAATACACACGTTTCACTGTTACTCATACATGACTTGTGGTGAAATAAAAAACAAGAGAAGGCTATAGCAAATGTGTAAAGGTAAATATACAATATATGCTGTATTTAATCACATGTACACAGTTTATTGCAACAACCACAAAACATATCTGTCCACTGAAGGTTATAATGTTTTAGAGAGGTGTTGATGCAACTTTATGGTGTTTTGGAAGGTTTTTTGTATTTGTGTTACATAACTTCAACACATTAAATCCCAATAATCATAAATTACCTTATGTATCAATAAATGAAAAGCTAAATATAAGTATTTATACACTTTATTTTATTTCTAAGTGGTATAACAGATTTCATTCCATGGTGCAGATTGTATGCCAGACTGGTGAAGTAAAAAGGATTACTAGTGCTGGTATTGGATGGACAAAACAATGAGCTTGCTGCTTATCCATGATGGGATACAGATTAACTGTATTCATTGAAAATAAAACACCAGACAGTGTTAACTAAAGAGAGTTTGTGAAAAGTAGCTGCTGTTTTTGTTTATTAAAGTAGAAAACTTTAAAGCAACTTTCAGCTCTTATCGGCCTGTAAAGCCACAGCCTTTTTTTTCACTGAACATTCATCAGGATACGTTTATTACAATAACCCTCAATGACTGTTCCTCTCCTAAATGAAAATAATCTATTCCCACATAAAAGCCACCCTTCAATTGGAGATGCGAGAAAATCCCCAAAGCTCATTAGAAACAATAGGATTTTCCCCACTGGGACGGTCATTCAGGGAAGAAACATTATTATTTTTTCCCTATAATAAATCTTTGGTATCTCCTAGTCTTAGATTTTCATTGCATGACTGTAGTAGTGCTTTAAGAGACAGCTTTTCTTCAAATCATTCAAATGAATAAAAAGTCTGAATATCTGCCAAACCTACATCTGAGACACAATTTGGATCGTTTATATTTCTTCTATGGATTTCTTCTTCTTTCGTAAATGTTTGTTCCACTGCTCCTTTTATAACAGGTGATAAGTGAAATGATGCATTTTTCAATGATTTTCTGAAGCAAAGGATAAAAAAAGCAATTTCTTTTCGGGAAACACAATTGCATCCTAACTGGTTTCACAGGGAGTTGGTTTTTCATAAATTTTCATTAACGTTCAACTTGGGCAGGGATATCGTCAAACAGAGGTAATTAAAGTCCAACAGCCACATGCTGCTCTGATTCTGAGTGGCTAATGAAAGATTTATATTCTTTTCATCGCATGTTGAAATATTTCTTTTTAAATTAAATCTGCAGTGTGATCTTGCGTGTAATGGCTCGTGTGGAGTTTCTGTTCTGTGGAGATCCTATTAAGGTTCAATAGTTGAATCACAAAATATATTGTTGGCCTGATATGGGGGAAGGTGACGTTTTTTCATCTTCTATTTCATTTAGGTACGCTTTGTGTATGAGAATATAGTGGTATTTTATCTGCACTACGGCACTTTCTTTTCTTTGTCTTTTTTCTTTTACTGCCCTCCAAGTCATGGAAATTGAGAAATAATTATTCAATGTTCTGCCACTTGATATTTAATTGCACGCTTAGTGGTTTGTGAGGTGTCCACCTGGCCAAAAAAATGAAAGCGAAAGTAATGAATGTTAAGAGATGCTTGGCAGGTTTTGTGCGTCTGTGTTTCATTCATAAATTGGGCCGTCGTTGATGCTGTTTACAGGGAAGCAAAGGCAGAACACTTGAATTTAAATGTATCTATGGCACAGTTTTGTGCAGGGAAGAGCTGCAACAAAAAACTTTCGTGGCACATTTCTGCATTTGGAGTCTTGCCACAGTAGACGTCCCTGATCCTTCCTTCACTTTGTTTTGGTGCCACGACCTAAATATCCAAGGACATCATTTCCATTGCGGGGGGGGGGACATGTCACTCATTTCCCTCACTTATATAGCTTCAGGATGATTTCTTACTTAAGTCTCCCTCTCTAGCCTCACTGTCCTGTAATCCTGAAGTCAAACACGAGAAAAGTGTAGATCTGACTCCCTAAAATGTGCTCCCAACTTTGTAAATAAGTTTAACCGCCAGCAAAGGGACTGTGTTTTTGTCAATTGTTGTGTTCAATGATAAAGAAACGCCGGACGGACAGAGGTCATCGCTGATCAAAAGGTTAAATCAAATGTATTTAATAAAAGAGATGGCGTTGTGGTAAAAAGAACATCTCAGCTGAGGAGCCGCTGGTCTCAGGCCAGCGTCAGTCCTTTTGACCATCCCTAGTGCCCGTCTGTCGCCTCCACCAGCGAACTCGAGAACAATGGTTCCTACAGGTATTTATAACACTGCTTAAAGGTGTGAAAGTTAGTGTCCACACCTCTGGGAGTGGTCTTCTGGTGAGTTCAATGTAACTCGGATTTCGAATGATCCTTAGTCAATATCAGTTGTTGTGCAAGTATTACATACATGCATTCCAGTTGATTGCATTACATCAAATACAATCATAACTGTACATTGGTATTATTCTATTACAGTTGCAGAATTACAGTGGTTTTACAATATTGTCATTACTTTATTGATTACAGTTTCAGAATCATGGCTGTATTCTGGTGTACACTATATGCATTTTTATTAATTTTATGAACCGGGTCGTATATTTGTTTCTAATATCCTACACTCTCGAGCTACAAACCAGCGGTGACTGTATGCACCCTTGAATAGAACCACTGCAGGACTTTTTTCTTGCAGGTTAAATAACATTTTTTTCAAATATATTTTTTGTAACTCTATTGCAGTGAAGTGGTAGAAAATTGTAAAAAAGTGTAAGATCTCAATCAATGAAACTAACAATTCATGTGATTACAGTTAGTGCATAAATAATACAGGTATTTACAGAGATATATATATATATATATATACACACTGCATACATATTTCATAGTGATAATAAGGTATATAGTCGTGGCGCAGGGGTTAGAGAAGGTGTGCTGGGAAGCACAAGGTTGTAGGTTCAATTCCAGGCTGCCCCATGTTCCATGACGAAGTGTCCCTGAGCAAGACACCTGACCCCTAATTGCTCCCCAGGCGAAAATGTGAAAAAGCCATGAGTTTAAAGTGTGATGTAAGTCGCTTTGGATAAAAGCGTCTGCTAAATGACCGGTAATGTAATGTAATATAGTATTTATAGCCTCCGTCCCTCCCCGCTTCTCCTTTATGCTCACAAACATACACTTCTGAAACCAAACCAACTCCCTTGTGTTTATCCACCTGCATGCTGGGTAAAGCACCGTGCCGTTCTGCTCATTAATGTGGTCGGGTTTGGCCAATTTACCGTACATTGATGAGATTGTAGATGTACAGTAGCAGCATTCTCTGTTGCTCAGTTTTCAAATCCCAGATTGCTACGGCAGCAGGGATTTCACATCACAGAGGCTCCTGCCATATGGTGTTTGTCTAGCTGGAAGCCGGTCAATACAACACCAATACGTTTGTATCTATTTTTAGATTTATGCTGTAATTTAAGGTGATGCACGCGGCGGTTGAGGAGGAGTCATTTTAGCTGCCAACAAAACTGCGAATACAGGAGATACTGAGCTAGTTAGTGGTTATACTCTATTGGACTCTATTATGAAGGGTTAGTTCTGAATCAGGTTGTGAATCAGGCTGATGCCAGATTTAGAAACTGATGAAATGTAGTACAGTAATAGTTACATTCAGAGAGTTTAACATTTGAAAGCTGACCAAAGAATGACCCGCTTTCAACGACTGGATTTAGTGGTTGCCCCGGGCAGCAACATGGTGTTATAGAAAACGCAGTCAACCACAATCCATATGGATTTATTTTTTTTGTAAGCTCAGTGCGCTCAGCTCTATCCGCACATAGCGGAGCATGTTGTTATTTTGTCTGTGGTTGTGGATTAGTTTCACTAATTATTTCCGAAATACAGGTACATTGCCATTTTAAATTTGTGTATGTATTATTTGTTTAGTAGCATTTGGAATGTATTTGCTTGTTCTATTGTGTGTCCATTTAATTTGATATATTTTAGCATTCGTAATAAATAATTTACTAATGTGGGATATGCATCGCAAATGGGTTTTTAGACTATCAATGCTACCACTGGCCAACATGGTCCTTTTCCTTAAAAACCTTTAGATAAAGTGTACGGTCGTGTTGTAGGTGCCCCCACTTAGCTGCAGAGTTTACCAGCCACTGCCTGAGGATGAATTCCACGTTTGACCATTTCTAGTCTACTTAACACAAACTCACTACTTAACTCACCACTTTGCTTTACTTGCTAATCTTCCAAAACCAACCATAGAAGTCCGCAGAGACTCTCAAATGAGGCAGAATGCCATTGCAACAATTCCTCTTTGTCAGCTGGGCGGTCTGGCTCAATGCTGATTAATGGGCCGGGGGTCAGAGTCTCTGCGGGAGGAAGCCGTCATTATCTCTGATGCTGCACTTGTTTCTCAATGGAATCAAATCCAGGGAAAAGAAATAGGTGTTAATCAGAACAAAAGGGCACGCACTGTGATCCGACCCCCCTACCCGTTGTCTCTTCCTTTGTCTCACTTCTGAAGCGGATGAATCCAGGAGAGACTGTTTAGTTCATTTTCAAGGTCTTGTCTGTCATCGCGGCTTCATGAATAAAAGATATCTAGTACCTATTTGACATTATGGGAGGCCCCTGTTTGCAGATTGATGCAGACTTCACATTTTCCAACGGTAGCAAACAGGTGGAACCAATGTGTGAATGTGTGATTACAATGATAGTGAGGATTATAATGCCCCTATGAAGTTAAACTTAAAAAGCTCTCAATGTTTCATGAAGTAGAAAAAACAAATCCTGACTAGACCATATTTTGCCCAGACGTCAAAGGTGCATTTGATTATGTTTTCTCATCCCTCTTTCAGGTGAGGAGAGCCTGATTAAACCTCCCTTTCTTTTGTTAACAACACCATTTCCCTCTCCATCTGTTTCAGGACTCAGATTCACTTCACAGTGGCCATTGATTTCACCGCATCAAACGGTAAGTGTCTTCACCAGCAGCACCCTGCTGCGCTTCCATGTGTCGTCTGATGTGTGACAGTTTAGTCAAAGAAGGGGCCGGAGTTTCCTGCTTGTCTTTTTTTAAAGTGTGTCATCTTTGACAATGATGTACATTGATAAAAAATGGACAACAAGAGAAGATTATGAACAAAATGTAGAAAAAGTCAAATGAAATGCTTTTTGTATCTATTACAGACTAGAAAGCAAACAATAGATGTGTGTTGAAGGGTACATCATACATCACACATGCTGTTGTTATCTTTTTAATGACGTGATGGGTTCACAGATGCACAAAAAAATGACTTAAATATAGTGTTTTCATCAGTTCAAATAGTCAATCTGTAATTCGTATATACATTCAAACATTTCAATGAGATTGTTCTAAAGGTTTTTTCTGCTTTTGTTTTTTTTCTGTAACTGACTCATGCACGTATAAATGGTTTGGTCCTGAAAACTAATCCCTAACCACAAGTGTTAACATGGACAGTGCAACTGGAAAACACAACCAGGAAAATATAACGTGAAGTTTCTGTATCGCAAATACAAAATTCAGAACATCCTATTCATTTAATTCAGCCTGAGTCTAAAGGTTTGCATCACTGACTTCTCTTTGTCTTGGAAGGAAATCCGTCACAATCCACTTCACTGCACTACATGAACCCGTACCAGATGAATGCCTATGCCATGGCCCTGAAGGCCGTGGGAGAGATCATCCAGGACTATGACAGTGATAAGATGTTCCCTGCCCTGGGATTCGGTGCTAAGCTGCCCCCTGATGGGAGGGTCTCCCATGAGTTCCCTCTGGTGAGTAAATTATGGAGTTATTTCAGACACTCGGGTTGTAATTCGCACTGTGAAATCTAGATGAAGTTAACCACACTGAATGTTAGAATGAATTTGCCCTTCCTAGTTGAGCTTATCTTTGAGTTTGGGCCATCATTTGGGATTTCATGCTCCCTTCAGCATGTATGGATTTCTGTTTTAGCGCAAAAAGAATGTGTGCATTGTCAGATGGCTGCTGCTACGCCTCTGATATAAATAATTCAGAATTAATTTAATTTAGCTTTTATAATGCAAATGAGGTTCCATAAGAAAGCTGAAGATTCTTCTTGAATCAATTTGGCTTCTCTCTGCCAGCTAATGTGCTCTGGCTGCTGCATGTACGGCCTAATGAGGAGTCTGGCTACTGGCTGACGTCGGCATCACTCCACATTTCTATTAAAATGTGCAAATTGGGATTCATCCCACAATATGATTGAGGTCTCATTCATTCGTGCTCCAGCCTCAGAGTGCTTAAAAGTAAAGTAAAAGATTCCTGGGTGAAATATTAAGTCAGAAATGTGCCTTGTTGCTGTTGAAGAACAGTTTCACAAGGAGAGCTCTGGGAGCAAAGACTGTTTTACAATTGTCATTCAACTCCACTCCGCAAGTACACAGACCTCTGCGGGTTAACATGAACCTGCACAGCCTGTCATCACAGCTTAAAACCAGCTAGCTGCTACATGACGATTGCACTTTTTCATCCAGAAATGTGGATGTTTGGTATATTTTTGACAATTTCTTGATTAACTAACTTGTCAATAAGATGCATCTGGAAATAAGCTCTCACAAGGACACTCGAACTATTCAAAGTGCTCAACTTACAAATGTAGTTGTATTTTATTTTATAAAATTAAAGTTATTTCAAGTCCTATTGGATTCCATTCGGACGACTGTTCATGTTTTTTGTTTTTCCCAGAACGGCAACGTTGAGAACCCGTTCTGCAACGGGATGGAGGGGATTCTGGAAGCTTACCATCAAAGCCTTAAAACGGTTCAGCTGTATGGACCGACCAACTTTTCTCCCGTTGTTAATCATGTGGCCAGGTACCAGAACAAATAGCAGAGCCGCTGAACGTCACCGAGCACAGTTGTCCTTTCTTTGAAAGTCAATCGGTAAATAATCCTCAGCGGGTAGACTCGCCGTCACGCCCCGCCGAGGTATTAAGACAGCGAGTGATGGTTTCTCCACGAATCGAGCAGAGCGGACGAAGGGAAAATAAACAATCGGCTGCCAAGCTGAACTGAATATAAATGTTAATCAGGCGCATTTGGGACCAGATGTTTTCGGAGTGCAGCAGCTACATGGCTTTTTTAGGAGTCCAGAGTTGCACCACAGTGTTTGTTAAATATAATCTTCTCAAGATGGAAACAATAGTGGAATTATAAAAAGGTCACAGGTGAACTCGATTTTACCCCCAACCAATGTTTTAATACTGGACTTCCAGACTGGGATTTAGGGCTCAGTAATGATGACTCATAAGTTGGCTTGTACCTGAATATTAATGGGAAACACTTAGACTTAAGTTTGTGCACCGCGGTTCAAATTCATGTTCTTGAATTTGAGATTTGACTCTCAGCATTTACTTGCATTTCTGGGCTCCTAACAGTTACCACGAGGTTACTCCTAACTTTAAAGTTAACAATTTAAACATTTGATCAATCATTTATAAGACCATATAATGTTGTTCAGAACAGGTGTCTGGACATTTTTTACAGATATAAAGATGTCAATTTACAGATTTCATCAACATTTAAAACTTATATATACTGTATTTGTACCATTAAAACAGATAAAGATATTTGTACCATTAAAGGGCGTAGCACTATATTTTAGTACATTTTTAGTTTCTTTGCCAGCTTCCACATTTGGGGGAGGATTAGTTAAATGTTATATTTACATCACAGTTAGCAATATTTAATTGTATTTATTTACTACTCACACAAGCACACAATAATGATACAATTTAAAAAGGTTGAGGCAAATGTATTTTACTTTGTTGCATTTTTCAATTATTTTGATGTAAAATTCATAGATTTTATGCCCATAACTTTACAGCATTAAATAGTTAAATAGTGGTTGAAATCAATCAGAGAATAAATACTCTGCGATCCCTGTTTGCCTAAAGGTCACTACGAGACTCAAATATTTCAGATTATTCACAAGGCTGTTACAGTGTTTCGACTGCAAAGAACAAGTGAAAAAGGTCATTCAGTAACCAAAGGATGAGAAGACTAAAATGACCATTCACCAGCACCAGAAACAGATCTTCATGCTGATGCATTAACGGAAGCAGACAATGCTCTTAAAGTTGTAGATCCATAATACATGCGGTATGCTAGAGAATAACCTTAAATTGATTATTCATTAAATACTCTATGTTTTCATCCATCATTATTAGCGTTGCAGTCATTACTCTGCTAATGTGGTAGAATGTCTCCCCTGTGTGTGGCCTGCATTGTTGAATGCTGAATGAGGAAGACAGAGGTATTTTTAATCTTCTAATCCGCAGTCATTGCTCTGCCGTTTGTCTTACTGATCACGCTCTTTATTAACATAAGGGCTGACCCCTGACCTGTCCTTGGCCCTCACAAGGATTTGTCATGTTTCACCCCCTCTGACTCATCAAGTGCTGTCAGTTGAGTGCCAAGCAATCAATAATGCTCTGAAAATGTAAGACTGCAGCACTTGCATAAACAGTTAAATAAATTATTCATGGAGCAGCCAGCGATGGGCGATTGAAAGTAGGCCACGCTCCCTGTGCTGTCTCTGATGGCTTTCATAATAGTGTCTGGATAGACCTATGAGACATGCAATATATTTCACTTCCTTACATATCGGTTCACCTTCTCTGTAGTTGTATAAACCAATGTCAAAGCTGTATGTAAGTGCATTTTTTTCTAACTTCATTTTACTCTTAACTTGGTTTGTGTGAAAGCGTCTTAAACCACTCCGGGCTGCTGATTTCTCTATTTCAGGTATGCAGCAGCAGTGCAGGACGGATCTCAGTACTTTGTTCTGCTCATCATTACTGATGGCGTCATATCAGACATGGCTCAGACCAAGGAGGCTATAGTGAATGTAAGTGCTGCTCTAACGCTGCCTGGAGGACATTTGCCGTCTCTCTCTCTCTTTCTACTTGCACTGGCATCGCAGGTCCATTTAGGTTGCTGCAGTACTTCCCTTTTGTTCTCGTTTATAAGCCAGTAACACCAGGATTTGAGGCTTTAAGGGATGTTTTCTGCTCCACTTACCCCCCCGCCCTCCCCGGGCTCGGATCCTGTTTTTTATCCAATATTTCTTCTTTTAAATGAGACTCTAAGAGGGTTGATTCATTGCCATGTCAACAGGGTCACTGTATCAGAGGCCACGGTCTTGTAGAGGCTACCATCTGAAGCACGGCATCACGGTGCTTTGACCCCCAGCAGACTGGGTTTAAAGGGAATTTGCGACTGTTAATCAAACCAATCGAACAGCCACACCTTCCTTTTAAGATCTTGTCTGCTGCTCTGCAATGCTCAGCCCGAACGCGGTGTGTCCTGCCGCCGCCTCGTAACTCGGACCTGGCTGCCCTTTCATCTGCCAACAGGAAACAAGGATTCATTGACTTTCTTCAAATGGCATTTAGCCGTCGCCCCAGAGAGACGAATTGTGAAGAAAGAGTTGCGTGCAGCGCTCATCTCTACATCTTTGGTTTCTTATTTGTTCCGTGATCTAACTTCAGTGATCTTTAGCAGTTTTACATAGCTGACATCGCCTTACTGTATAATGTTGTAAGTATTGCTGGTCGAACCGAAGCAGCACGGCTCCGCCTGCAACGACCGTCATTGGTCCCACTCATCTAACCTCTGCGGCGCCTTTTTGATCTTTTTCTCAAAATTTCACTGCAGGATTTGTGAAAGAGTCTTTCTCTGACATGGCACGCCAAAATATAAATGAATTTGTGCCCAGGTGTTGGATTATGTCCGTTTGTTGTCTGGATGGGAGGCCGACTCGACCAGTAACTCCATTGAGTCCCAATAGTCACATAAAGAACTGCATTCAGCTCAGTTTGTCTGTCCACAAGGAATCAAGAAAGCAAACGCTTCAGCTGTCTGGCTGACTGGACACTTGATTTATCTAAAGAGGTCAAAAAGAGGAGATGCTTTGCTTCTGACATATTTTATTTCTTATTTTACAAAACTTCTTATGAGGCCAGCACATGTTAACTCTATCCATCTTAAAGCCGCTATAACTTTTCTTACTGTTCTTATGATTGAATTGTAGCCACACATTATTCAAACAACCCCGGTGATTACAAAGATACTTGAATAATCTGGTTTGGGGAACTTCGTACCAACGCTGTCATAGAAAACGTGGAGTGTTCCATCCATCCATCCATTGTCAAACCGCTTATCCTGCACACAGGGTCGCGGGGGGGCTGGAGTCCATCCCAGCCAACTTCGGGCGAGAGACAGGGTACATCCTGGATTGGTCGCCAGCCAATCGCAGGGCTACACAGAGACACACAACCATTCACACTCACATTCACACATCTACGAGCAATTTAAAGTCCCCAATTAACCTGATCTGTGATTGAATATTTAACTCAGGATATGAACTTTTGATGATTTCCAACCATCAGGTTGATAACCCTGTTTTCTCATTTATCTCTTGTTACATGCTAAGTTTAATTATTTGTACCATAATTATACCATATTCTTTTACAAAAAATGAAGAAAATTGATTGATTACATGTAATTATCATATTAAATGTGTTTTGGAGTGACTGACTCACTGCCCCAATCTTAAGATGACACTCAACCATTAGTTTCTGTAACCAGCACTCTCTGTATGTGTGTTGTGATTCTGCGCAGTTTGAGGAGAATGTGTTCGCACAGACTGACGGGGTTAGATCCCCCGAGTGACTTTACACTACAAGCAAAGTAACAAATGGTGTAGACTGAATAATTCAGTCCTTGATACAAAAACCAATCTGGCATTTATACGTATGTGCGTGTGTGGTCTTCAGCTGCTGGAAAGAAGCAAACAGAATTCATGCGTTTAATGTTGGAGCAAGCGGTCAAAAAAGTAAATAAATGAGCCAGATGAAGAGGAAGGTAAAATGGCGAAGGCGACGGCAGGATAATAATGATGGAGGACATGGAGAGGATGGTCCTGTTCGCTCCATAAAGTCTCTCCTGTGACGGACGTCTCCCCTCAGGAGATTTGTCCAGGAAAGCTGACCTACTTTTACCCCTTCAAATGTGATTCCACCACAAGCATCATCCATTCAGAGCTTTCACTCTCCACATCAGCACTATGAGCTGGTTTCATCATGCGTGGAGAAACCTGTACACCACAAACCTTAAATGTTTAGTATTTAGTTCGATGTGTTTTTCTAAAATAAAACATGTGGCCTTTATGCTTTGACGTTAACTGAGGTGAAACATTTCTTTATGTATTATTGTACACTTAGTGACGCAAGTGTGGAGGATGATGTTCTCTGAATAAAGTGTTTTACTTTTTTCGTGTTTGTATGTACTCTTTATTTTTTTTCTTATTAGTAGTGACGTGTGAAGAACAATGTGTAATGTTATTCACTGGGATATCCGACATTGTAAAAGTGGTCTGCATAATATGGAAGAGCTGAAAGATGTTTTTATTTTCTGGATGTTCTACCAACCGCGGGGTTGTTTATTGTATTTAGATTTCATGAATGTTCCCTGAAGTGCAGGTTAATACGGACTTTGTGTGTGTTGTAAATGTGACCCAGATTGACTCTTTGTTCTTCTTGTTCATGACAGGCAGCTAAACTCCCCATGTCTATCATCATTGTTGGAGTTGGCCAAGCCGAGTTTGATGGTAAGAACAGTGGAAAGTGTATTTTATGGAGCTTGTCTATAAAAATGCACAGTAAAAACCAGCCTTCGCATCAGAGATGGTTGGTCATAGTAAAATTGACTTTGTAGGTTTGCCCCAAACCAGTACTATGAACATCTATATTTTCATGTGGGAATATTTCAATACATTCTCTCTGTAGCCATGGTTGAGCTGGATGGGGACGACATCCGGATTTCCTCCCGGGGGAAGTTGGCTGAGAGAGATATTGTTCAGGTGAGACCTCTCCAATGTTCTGTCTCTCTTAGCTTGCGATAGAACGAACAAGGCCCATTTTCAGAGGCACATTGGTGGAAAAAGGGAGGGGGGGAGTTTCTATTAGGGGCCATTCTTAAATGGCCAGATTAGGGGCCAGATTAGGGGCCATTCTTAAATGGCCCCTAATGTTTATTACAAAGCAAGATATCTCATCCTAACAGCGATCGGCCACATTGTCTATATGCAATTGTTTGTTCGGATTCGTTTTGTTCGGATTTTCGCTTTCAGTATAGAAATAGAAAAAATCCATTAAGCACAACACAATTAACTGAACACATCCGTGCAGGATGAACGCACTCCAAGAAACGCATTTTGAGTCACTTGCGGGAGTTACTTGGATCGCAGGTTCCATTCAACATCATCATCCTGATTTTTGTCGATGGTTCTTCACTTCTGCACTGGTGCCTTCGGGGTTCTTCACGGAACGCTTGCAATATGAAACGCTCCTCGGTTCTTGTCATAACCACTAGAGGATATGAAGGTTCTGGATAGAGCCTCTGCAAAGTTTCTGTTGAGGACAAATGCACCATAGAAGGGTTGTCTCTGTAACATCGCATTGGGAAAGTGTTCCAGGTGAAACATTTCCAAAATGGATGCTGCTAACAAGGGAGCTCAGACTGATGCTGTACTGTAATTTAAAACCAATGTCGTAGGTAGTTATGGTAAACACCACAATGATATTTAAAGTGTTAGGTCCAAAGATTTTCTATTTCCAGGTGGTCTGCGATTTTTAATAAAGTCCCACAATTCTTACAGTTTGTCCCGTTCAGAGACTACATGGATCGCACAGGCAACCACGTGCTGAGCATGGCGCGTCTGGCTAAAGACGTACTGGCAGAGATCCCCGAGCAGCTCATCTCCTCCATGAAGAGCAGAGGCATCAAGCCCAACGCCGTGCCCCCGGTTCACTCGCCTGGAGAACAACTCCAGACCAATCTCGTTTGAGCACCAAAAGCAGCTCGGGGTCGAGGTAGGGCAGCGTCGTGGTGGAAGGGGCCGGCCTTCACAACCATCCTTTGGAAGAAGCTTTCGAGGCCCTTAGAATATTAATTTTCTGAACAATTAAGGTGATGGGACTCCATATTTCTTTGGAGAAGCACAGCGGCTTTTGTCGAACCTGCTGAAGATCAGGAGGTCTTTATCTTTGCAAGTGCTTGAGGATGAGGAGGCTGAGAAGAGGATGGGGTGGAAGGAGGGTTTAAGTGAGGATGTAATGGATAGCAAGTAAACTTATAGAGAGAGCCTGTTTGGAGGCATACATGTATTAGAATGTGCCAGTGTGTATCATGTTTGTGATACCTTTTGGAATCGGTGTGCGGTGAAGTAGGAAATCATAGGTAGACTAATTCATTTACTTATTTATTGCAGAAATGATTAATTATTTTTAAAGGGTGGGGGGTCCGATTAAAGTCCTTTTCTCCCTGTACTTTTCCATTTTATGTTTTAAGACGAGTGTATTAAAAGAAATCCCCATTTCTACTTCGTTAAGGTCTGGAATATAACCGCATGTGATAAAGCCTATTCTGCAGTTAATGAATTGTTTTCACTGATAGATAATTTTAATTGCAAGCAGTTATGTAGAGGTCCTGCTGTCAGCTGTCTCAGCACGATGTCTTTTACCTAGTTCTAGTTTCCATAGAAGCAGAATGCACTGATTACTCGCATATCAAAAAGCACAAAGGTTGTAACGTTAAAAACAAAGATCATTCTGATGACACCAACATATAACACAATAAAAACTAATGGAAAGGACCCAATGCTTTCAGCGCAGCTTTTACGCCTCGCATTATTTTAAACGGAATGAAAGTCAAATAATGTTTATAAAGAAAATTACTATTCTGCTATATTAAAATGAACCTATACTATCACAAAAATCGTATGTTTACAGAAAAAAAGATGAATAATTCAAAGCGCAGACTTGTTTGTTTGCAGAGAGGTAAATTATTAGTCATGCTGCCATGTCTCATTTGTCATCTCGCTGTTTGTGTTTCTTTCCATTATATTTGTTTTGGTTTCGGTTTATTGTCTGGAAATTTGCTCTGTACATAAAGAACCCTACAAATTCATTTTTGAACGACTCATTTCAAAGAATACCGACTTCCATTTCTCCTCCAATATTTCTTTACTTTTTACGCCAGAATGAAAACTGAACGATCACAATTCTCGCAGTAAGATATTTGGGTGTTGAATTTTTTTCAAATGAATGTCCCGGATGCCATTGTTTTACACTTATCCACACTGTTTCATTTTGCCACAATCATTGGAATACGTTTCTAATACGTTTCTAATACCTAAGATGCAATATCACAATTTTTTTTCAATTTGACTCAAGACAGCTGCCCATATGTTCACCTTTGTTTTCCACATTCATTTTTTGCTACTCTGTACACTAGTCAGTTAACGCCACTGTGGCCAATTTGGCCATTATTTCCATTAGCATCCGTCACTCAATATCTCGATCCAAATGTGCCTATTGTATGGAAACATATCCAAATTCACTTACCCAGGTGTTACTCTGCCAGCAGCAGCAGATCTCATGTTCATGGTGTAAACACAGAAAATGTTGGTGACAATAAAACCGTTGCAAGGTTAGAGGACTTTTTATACTTGCAGCTCTTCACTAATTGTCTTGAAATAATGATAATTAACAGTGTCACTGAGCCTTGTATAATATTCAAAGTCATGACTTGTTTACAACTTAATTGTGGCTGCAGGATTAACAGCAAACATTCATTTAGAAATGAGTTTAATTTTGAATTCGCTGTGCATTATTCACTCTCATTCTGTACTTAAAGGATGTTCCATTGAACAACACAGTCTAAACTAACATTCAATACGTAGCCTAGATTTCGCTTTGTTATAATTTTGTGCTAATGCAATTCCTGTTGCTTTACAATCTTTGTCAACCGCATAATGTTGACTCCCATAGCTTTAGTGTTATTAGATAGAAGATACAGTGTGACGATATTGCACAAACTCAGTTCGGAATCAGTGAACTCCTTCTGTCGGAGGCCCAGATCCGTATTTGGCTTTATTTTTCTCCCTTTTTTAATTTTTAATTTTTGATTTGTGATGACATTCATTCCTCGGACGACAAAGCAATGTTTAACCTGCTGCCAAATCCACGCGTTCATCAGAAATGAATTGAGGCCATTTTCATCACATAACACTACTAAATACCAGAATACCTCTACAAAAAGCCATTCAAGCCAAAAGGAAATCATATATACGCATTGATTACAATTGTTATGAAATATCTATTCATTAATTATAGTGACTTACTCACACATCTGATATATTTAATTACTGCAAGTAATCACAAGCTGAAAGACAACTAGGGAATGTTGGCCAGGTTATTTAGCAGGCATGTGTTTAGCATCAGCGTGCAGCTCATGTATGAGACTGAACAGGAAGTTGGGGTTAAATGTTATTTGCACTTTTTACACATGTTTCATGTGATTAATACAGCAATGGGGCTTTTTTTGGGCCGACCTACTAAGAAATAATAAAAAGCTACACCTTTCATTTTTCTCTGAGGTTTCCCCAAAGCAGATACCATAAACTTCAACCCTCAGTAGTAAACACAAAATTAATTTAAAAAAAGGGAGCACAGCAATTACACTTATGCAATTATGAAACATTAAGTTATTATGAAATATATTTTTCTGTCTTTCCAAGAATATATCTAACTATCTTTTCTTGTTGGGAATGGCTTTGATCATCTCCATTAGAGTTTTCTCTGAGGCTAAATTCTAATTATGTACATAAGACCCATATAAGAATATTCAGTGCCAAAAGTTGTTGAACTTGGCCTCTTTAGACAATGTGCATGTTTGTGCCAAAATGCTTAGAGGTTTGGTAGTCTACCTTCATTTCATTTGATTAGTGCATCCGCCATGTGCTACGTTTGTTGTTTGGGGAGTAATTTAGAGATTTCAGTCACCTCGCATGTTGCACCTCTGGTTTTCTTCCCTCTCTGTTCCTATGAGACGCATTCTCACCACTACTCCTGTTCTACCCCAGGTTGTTTACATACCTCGTTTGGTCTCTGAATTGCATGCTGAACTATTTCCAAACCAGGTGTTGGACATGATATGGTCGTCATACTGTGTTTTGTGACATTCTTTGTAATGGATTGCCTTAACTGAAGATTAATAAAATATTGACAACTTTGGCAGACTCTAATCTTTTTTCATGTGTGTTTGATATCAATTTTTCTAGAAGACGAGTGAAAATAACGTACTAGTTGATGTGAAACATTCTCCTTAAAGTTCAGCTATTTACATTTCTTTTATTTTCAAGGATCACATGGATTTCATGGATTTACTACAGATTTTTGACGATCAAGAAAACGGTTGATTTGTATGTACCCATCTATCCCACTGAGGGACTCGTGTCCAATCGGCAGCGAGCGGTGTTCCTCATGCACAATGTGATCCCTTAGAATTGTGTTTTTTCTCCCCCCCCCCCATAATGAATGCATTGCTGACGCATCAAGCTCTCCACCTGGGGAGAAGGAGACAGCAGCTGGAGCCATAAATTACCATCCTAAGATAGATCCAACACCTCCCTCGCCCGCCCACTTACTGCCTAAATAATAACCCCTGACTGGCAGCTCGGGAGAAAATCAACAGCTAGTGACATAGAATTATACCTTATATGTAACGGTCCACATGTATAACGAGCAAAACACTTATGCCAAGATCTAATTGCACCGATCACTCTGGAGCTCTGGCAGGCAACATTTATCAGCCAAATTAAATATGAAAAACCAGTTTGGATGAAAATTAACCCAACTTTACTCGTTCTGCTCTCGGTAAGAATTGTATTTCTAAAAACAATTGGTAATAACGTTTTTGACCGTTGACTCGTGGTTCTACAATCAGCCATGTGAACACACTGAACTTATCTCAAAGATACAGTTTGCCACTTAACCAATTAAGCTTTCGCAACCTCCACAAATTTGTACAACTCGGGCCAGGTGACAAAAAAAAGCTGTTGTTCTTTAGATTTTAATTTAGAGTCACAGTGTGAAGGCTTCGTCACAGCTTTCGCTCCTCACAGCATCCATTAACCGCACGGCACAAATGTACGTCGCATCCTTTCTACTCTGCTACTCAAAATGAACTCTACTTAGCTCGGGGCTGCACTCGCTCAGCAGCACAAATGCACTCATCACCTCACTCGCACTGCAAGAATGAGCACGTTCCCTTCGTAATGCAGCCGGAGGGGAGCGGTAGGTGGTTCCTCGCCACCCCTCCAGTAGCCGTATGAGATCTGTCAGCTGGAGGAATCGGTCATGTCAAAAATAATCATGGCGAAAGTAAACTGAAACATATGATAATATTTCCTGTACCGGTTTCTTCTACATTAACGCAAACTAAAGTATCACCAGTCTGTGCTGATATTTGGTTTGGAATAGTAGTATCAAGTCTTAGGCATGAAAGGAAAAAAATCTGACATTAAAGCTTCAACGCACTGACCACACAGATTGTTAACATTGGCAAATAGAATTGAGAAGCTAATTTCAGAGGGAAGTAAGTCATATCATTACAGAGTGAGCCCATTTACTGTTTGCTTCAGCCTGGAACAGCCTGTTCCCCATAAAAATAAATCGCTGACAAAACCACTATGAATCTTAAAGGTCAGAGATGTTTTGGTAATAATATTTTCTTATTTTTCCGAGATGGAAAAATGCATATTTCTGGTTTTTACTGGACTGTTTGGACAAAGTGTCGACATGCGCTTGGGAAAGAAGTTGACCAAATAAATACAAAAAAACTGATCTTCAGATTAATTGATAATGAAAATAATTGTCATTCACTACATGTACTATATTTAATACATGATACATTATGTCTCGTCATAAATAAGAGATATACAAATTATGTAATATTACAAGACATTTTGATTGTGTTACAAATCATGGATTCCCATTTGCACTAATTATTAAAAGTCTTTCATAAGATCCGGTTTAGTGAAAACCCGTTATTTTGTGTGACATTTCAAATGAAACATGTAGAAAATATATATTTTCATTATTGGTCAATCGGGATGTAAAAAAATCTTATGATTTTGTTAGATTTTTCCCTCTGCTGGTTATAAATAAATGCTGTTGATTTTAAATAACGGAAAAGATGCTTTTGGAACCCTTCTGCTGGTTCTCAGGTTCAGCAGCTTAATGAAGATGCTGAAGATGTCTTCATCCACCACTGTACATTTTTCTCTACATGATGATGGGCAATTATGGACATATTGATAATGTCTGTTTATTATCTACATGATCGTGGAAATAGTTATGTATAGATTAATTTGTTCCTTCCTTTTTTACAAGTCCTGCTGTTTGGAAAAATCTGCCATTTTATTTTCATTAGCTCTTAGTCCCCTCCTTACCCTGATAATCAAAAGTTCTTTTCATGGGCTTAGTTGGGGGTTCGCTATCTTGTATTGATTTAAGAGTTACTGTAGGTAAGGGGGGAAGCAGGGTGTGCCGAGCAGGCAGACACGAGTCTGACAAGATGGGGAGTCAGTTTCTGTCCTGGCTGAGGAATCCAAGGTCTGCGGGTCAACTAGCAGATGTGCCAGCCTAAGGGGGGTTTAGAGACACACCAACACTATTCAACATACACACTCTGTTCGTTGCTGTTTACGTTAAGTCAGAAGTCCGGACATTGGATGTGACCGGATCTTTAGATGCGCGGGGTGGAAGGTCCTCCTCTACGCCAGTTTTGGGCCAATAGAAATCTTTCCTTCTCTGTCTTTCAAGGGTTATAAAACATGATGTTCTTGCTGATGTTAGTTAGTTGTTCTTCCGGCATGTGTGCTGCCTGAACTGCTCCTGCCTTTGCAAACGCAGCGCTGATACTTGACCTGTGATCTGACAAATAAATCTCCCAGAACCAGAGAAGTTGTTCGGCTGAATTTTTGATAACCCCGACCAGGCTCCAATTCTTGAACACGTATTCTTACAACCCCACTACTGAGCTGTAACTCCTCCACATTAACTCAATCTCACACGAAACAAATGGCCAAACACCTCTACGGTGCTGATGCTGCCTGCAGCCATAAACCAACTGTGGTATCCTGATATTTAGGTTGTGATATTTACCTGCATTACCACTCCACACCACAAGAGGGTTAGTTGACCTTCACGGTCATTAGGCATGTTAGTTGTTAGATACTGTTCAGAAGAAGAATAACCCGCTGTGAAGATGTCCTGTCACGTTGCACTAAATAAATGATAACTATGATTATCAAGAGTGGTTTAGTCTTTTAAATACTGAAGTTACCACACCAACCCTTGATGCGTTCCATTCAGCAGAAGGCTGAAAAGTGCACACAGTGCCCAGTCTTACTGCCCCTGACAAGCAATAAAAGAAGCCTTTGGAGAGTTCAAACAAGTGAAGGCTGTACCTTCAAATAGTGCTCAGATAATACTTCCTACACTGACAGCTGCTCTATCGGCCCCTTTCTCTGCGACATCCGCATGCGTTCACTCCACACCTCAGATCACCTCTTCAGTAGGACTGTAATCTGTGCGGCTTCAGGGGAAGGCGGCGAGTAAAAGAGAATCTAAAGTAAGGGGAGGATGAAGGAGGGGGGAGGGATGCTGATGGGGAGGTAGGCGAGGTGTGACATAAAAAGAAAAATAGAGTGGGTTATCGGAGGAGAAGAGAAGCTGGCAGCTGGAGAGAGGAGGCAGAGGGCCGGGGCTGGAATGAGGAAGGAAGGAGATTAGGAAGAGCAGGAGGGAGACAGATTAGCAAGGAGACAGCAGGAGGGAGCGTACAGCAGGAGAGAGGAGTCCCCCCCCCCCATGGGGAAGCACTGTCCTGTGAGTCATCTACCAGCAGCTGGATCTGGGCCTGTGGAAGCTAAACTTCTTTCTGGGTTGCGGCTCTTTTGATGTGACACAACGTGATGGACGCGTTGAGACGGTGCACGACACCGGGGTCGCTTCTTGTGACCCTCAAAAGATTGACGCATGCAGAGCGTTGACGTGTTTCCAGTGTGAGGCTGAGCGTTATGGAAAGAGTTCGTATATGATGACGGAATTATCCCACCGTGTTGAAAGTGACAAAGCAACAGCTTACATTCTTTTTTTTGGCTGCAGTTTGGTAGTTTTCCACAAATCCTGAATTTGTCTCTTCTCTCCACTCGGCAGAGATCTTTTGGGACTTCTGTGTTCTCTGTGTTCATCTCATAGTTGCTTGTTTCCCCCCTAAGAAGACACACAAATACATTTCCATATGCGTGTGTGTGTGTAGCCCCTCCCATATAAACACTGGCAGAGGTGGAGACGGTGCTTTCAGGGTCCGATCGATACTGCGAGGTGCGTCCGCTCCCGCCGCCCCCCTCGCCATCCACGACTTAAATCTTCGGCTGCTCTCCAGCCACGCCGCCTACCAAGGAATTTTAGAATAACTTATTTCCCCGTTAAGATGGTTCAGCTACTGTAAAGAAAAGGGCACCGTCTCTCGCACTTTAATCTCATGAAGTGCTCGGAGAGAACGACAGTTTTGTTTCTCCGATGCGCTTGAGCGCTCGCTCCCACACTTTGGGAATCGTTGGTGTAGAGTATGAACAACTTAAAGATGTACAGTACATCCAATTCCTACGACAGAAATGATTCAAATATTGTGGATTATTAAGCCTGGGGTAAGGCAGGACCAGTGCAGGGACAACCATCATCAGATGTAACCTCCATCGGATGCAACCACCACCCACAGAAACCTGTGAGGAGGGAAAGCACAAAGGCAAAGTTGGTCATTTGGGTTTATGATGACAGTAATAAACTAATAATAATAACAGCAGCAGGTGTGTTAGAACCCTCATTTATAGATTGTTTACTTATTACATTATAAACAAGATAACAATTCAGCTGCAACTTATGGTATTTCTGGAGTAACATTTCCAGGTATCATGCTTTAAGCACATAGTAACTTACAATGTTTTGGCCCTCTTGTTTACAGACCACAACTTGTTGAATTCAGCCCTTCACCCTTGCAATCTGTATTTAGCCCCCATTGCTTTAAAAACGTATTTCCCATGTGAAATGCAATAATATTTATGGGTACAGCAACAATCTAACGCATTAGCAACAGCAAATACACGAAAAATATTCTGGGATGTTTACTTTTGGTCCAGGTCATCATGCTGCAAGCTAGCATGCTAACT